ATATTCGTACAAGTGCTTGAAGTGCTTGAAATATAATATATAATCTTGTATATATAAATGTATAAAAAAAGGGCATTTATCTCCCCTTGTACGTCTCCTGAATAGTTTCATTCAATTTTTAGAGATCTGGCGTTCGATTTTCGCATATTTTTCAACATCAACCTGAAGGCAATCGCAACAAAATGAATTATCAATTGTTCCGAATATATACCGACCTTCTTTTCTATGCCATGCTGAAGGAAGTATTCTAATACTTCATCCACAGTTTTTAAAACGCATTCGTATTTAAAAATTTCTTCGTTGTTTTCATCAAAACCATAAATAAATAAAAACATGATAAATAAAGATGTTTTTACAAAATTTTCTTAAATTTTTAATTTCGTAGCATTTCTCTTCTACTATTTTTTAGGCGGTATTACCAGCGCGAAGATATAAATATTATTCTCGATAACTATAAAACCTGTACAATTCGGACGTTGATTTGCTGAATAACAGAAAAAGAACAAGAAAACATATGCCAGGTTATATTTATTGTTTTTCGGTTAAAGCACAATAAAACAAATTATTAGACGCGTTAATTTAACGGATAAATTTATGAAATTAAAATATTAAAAAGATTTAAACTTTAAATAAAAGCATTAATGCTTATACAAACGAGGGAATGGAATCGTACAACAAAGCTTCGCCGCAGAAACGTAAACATAAAACTGATTATGCTACCGGGAAAGACGATGAAAATATTGAGGAATCAGCATTCAAAAATGAAGAGGTAGCCAGTAAAAGAAGACGCGAGGAAGCAAAAGATGTAATTAGACACGACCAACGCCTGCAGCGAGTATGTGGGATAATTGAGAGAGAATTCCAAAGTGAAATTCATTTTAAACAACAACAACTGCAAGAAATTGACGAACGTTTAAGCAAAGCCAGGCAGCTATTAGAACGCTTACGTTACAACATTGTGGCAGAATATTATCGCAAGCAGGATTTATCAGTCACAGCAATTGATGCGGCGACTATGAAGGATAAAAGTACGCTTTTCCAACAAATGCATTTGCATCCTTCCATAAAGAGATTAATAGGAAAGAAGCCAAAAGAATTTTGCGAATTGTGGCGTTCATTCCCCCGGCGCGTGGCGGCGCAAAACGCAAAAGAAAGCATAAGGGTAAGAAACCAAGGTCAAAAACGAGAGGAGCGTAAATTACAGCAAATAATACGTGAGCAAGGTATAGTAATTGATCACACGCAGGAAGACAAGATGAATAATTACACGGATGTAAAACAATTATTATCCAATGCGCAAGAAAATTTAAAGCGAGTAACCAGTACTAGCGACACAACGTCATCCTCGTCTTCTATGAGCAAAAAGGAAACTTCGACGGATGTCGATAGGGCAAGGGCTTTGAATGCCGCGCGTTTAAATAATAAAATCAAATACTTAATTGTAGTGGGCAACGTCTCAAAGTATATAGGAGACGAAATGGAACAAGGTACAAAAGTGACAAGCCATGTTCTTACACATAAATGGTTGGTTTACGTTCAAGCGAAAGAAGCGAGTACTCCTTTAGAACATTACGTTAAAAAGGTACGTTTCTTCTTACATCACTCCTATCGGCCCAACGATGTAGTCGACGTTCATCTGTCACCATTTCAAGTGGCCCGCCGCGGTTGGGGCGAATTTCCAATCAGAGTACAATTGTTTTTCCACACTCAATATTACCAAAAGCCAGTACAGTTGATACATAATATTGTGTTGGACAAAACCTTGTCGGGCTTGCAAACCTTGGGAGCGGAAACAGTGATGGAAGTATGGCTGAGGAATATACCGCAAAGTAAAGCTGTGAAAAAAGACCCATATGCGAAAATGCAGTTAGAATCGAAGCAGCATGTAATACATAAAAGTGAAGATTTTGTTGATGATAATTTGCTGGATTTTCTCAATAAAATCGAAGCCACTCCTAGTGGCATTTGTGCGGATATCGAAAAGATACAACCAACCGTGGTAGTGACCGAACCTTTAAATTGCAAACTGAAACCTCTCAGCTGCAAAACCTCTGAAGTCACAAACTCTAGTAAACAGTTGGAGAGCTCTTTGGAACACTCCGAGCAGGACGGAGCTGAAAGAGTTTCGAAATGCTTAGGCATTGATTCGATATCAACGCTACGAAGCCCACAGAAATCGTCATGTGTTACGAAATCGTTCAGTCAGTCAACAATTTCTACAACTTGTGTCAATAATAATGAAGCCACAGAAGTAACAATGCCATCCTCTGCAAGTGAACCCACGTCAACTAATTTAAATATATCACAGCAAGTAACTAGAACATATTCGAACACATCCATACCGACAACGATAACAGCAAAAATTAAATCGCCAATTGTTTCGAACAAGAAGGTTAGAATTTTAACGCCGGCTGCTTCAGTGGCTTCGGTCGTGCAATGTGCTACTTTACCAATCATTAGCAACAAGAGCGATATGAACGGCGGCACGACAAAGCCAACACTTTTAACTACTTCAAATGGCACCGGTTCAAAACAAATATTCCAAAAAAAGTTGGTGCAGCTAATTGATTCTTCGGGGAAAGTCAAATACATACAAATGCTAGTCGCTACAAGTTCAACTGCTGTCAACCCAATGAGGATAAATTATGTTAAAGCTGCCCGTGCTGTTTCAACTAAAACGAATAATACAGGTACGTATAAATGCGTAAATGTTTGCACAACACACTATTTGCATATATTTTTTTACAGTTACTGACAGTACAGAATCCGCCAACGCTAATCCACTAAAGCCAGCCAATGGATTAACTTCGTCTACGTCGACGACGAAACCCAATATTGTAAAGATCAAACTCGACGAGTTGCAAAGCAAACCGCAAATTTTTACGTTTAGTACGTCAATGGTCAATTCTACACGAACAACGCTTACAACAACCGTTCCATCAAATACAAGCTTAACCTTTCTAAATGTTCTAAACACCAATTCCAATCCGAGTGTAATCAACGCAAACATTGCATCAAGAGCAACGGCTGCCGAAAAAAATGTCAATGGAACGTATAGCAAAAATGTGGTTTTCCATAAAGAAGGTAAACTTTGCATTATCGATCCCTTGCAAATGAAATTAAAACAGCAGCAAAAAAAGCAAATATCTTTGCTCAAACCGCAGACTTGTTGGCTTAAGCAGAAACAAGAACAAATGCAGAGAACTGCGCCCACCTTACAAGCGGCAGTTGCTTATGATCACAGTTATGTGCCACCTTCACCCAATATAAGCAAAGAAACAAAGGTCATACTACCTCAGGTTCATCATGGTTTACGTCAAAATCGTGCCAATTCTACAATAGCTCAACAATTCAAAGAACTCCAACGACAGAAGTTTGAAAATAAATTCCTGCAACAGAATTTTACAAGTACCCGTGAAGCTGTAGAATATATTTTGCGACGTTTGCAATTGATCGCAAATAAATGCCCTCTAGAAGCTATGGCTTATCCGTTTGTCAGTCAGACAGCGCGAGAGTTTCAGCTGCTGACTGCTTTCAAGCAAAGAAGCTGCGAATGGTTACGTGCCAAAACTATAGCACACTTAATACAGCAGCATAAAAATCTACAAAAGTTAGAAAAAGAATCCAAAGAAACTTTTTGGTCTACCCGAGAAATTGCTAAGTTCGCACGCCAATATGCGTACACGCCAATCATTAAGAGTTTGCCTTCAACAGTAGGGTCGAAACGGGAAGGGTCATACCAATTCTCTGCGTTCGTACAAAGCGAACTAAAACGCGAAACTGACAATTTACCCTTTGTTACCTTAAGTGATCATTTGAAAATTGATAAATGGATGGATAGAATATCCCAGCAATTAGGAACATATGATATGCCAGATAATCTAGAAATCATCGATGTCGACGGGTTAGAAAAGGCTAGGCCCAGAAAAGACAGCAATAAAATATATGACAACCGCGCTAAGCGAACTGCAAATTCAGATCTAGTTTTAACTTTTCCAAAGGAACTTGAAAACGAATGTGAATTGGTTTCCTACATAAGCAAAGAGTTACATCTAAATATACCTAACGAAGAGGTGGAAAGCAATGTCTGGTTTCCAGCCGTGCAAACTATTTTAGGTCAATGTCTACGCGTATTTTTGGAAAAACTCCTACGACAGTCTATAGCCACAAAAATGCAAAAAGAAACCATAGCAACGATCATAGAATTGCCGGCATCGGATATAATAAAAGTCTTATGTAACAGCGGTAGTAGAGCGAGTGAGTTTGATTTCCTCACAAATAAAAATTTTGGTGCTGTCTTGTTTTCAGATCCTTTCCAGCTACATGAATTCAAACAAGAAAAGTGCTGATACATATATATTAATTTATTTTTGAAAGGATTACGCAAAATATCGTTTCTGTGTATATATGCTTCTTATTTTGTTGTTTTTTAGTAAGAATGTATGTGTTCTTTTTATTAATTTAAATTTTATTTAGTTTTGACCTAAATAACAATTTTTTACATTAAGAGGAAGAAAGATGGAAAGTTATTCATAAGAGAGAAAATTTGAAGAAATGAAACAATGTTTTACTTTGTAAACAATTTGAGCGATAGCTAGATACCACGACAGAATAATGTCATATTAATGTTTTCGTTCGTGAAAAGTGAGGGACACAAGCTTTAGCGACATTGTTCGAAATACGCGGCTAGTTGAAGTATGACTTTGTCCGTTTTTAGACCAATGTTTTATTTGTCATTATTATTACACTCTGCATTACTTGTGGTACAAGGATATGTTACATTTGCGCGGATGTATGGAAAAGGAAGAGCTGAGACAGACTCGTATGCCTGTCGGTCTGCTCATCTAATTCTCTTATGCACAATCTTTACCTCTTATTTTTAAAATGTGTTGATAAAATTTGGTTTACTGTTCCATTGTGAACCAAAGGCTAGTTCTATTGAAAATGGTCCACATCAGACCATTTTTTCGACCACTTGTTATAAGTATCAAGCGATGTGGTCTAGGGAAATGGCAGGTCGTGGGCCCCTATATTGTTTTTACCTCTTCCTATATTTATGGCATATTTTTTTCGAAATGAAAGATGTGTACCTAGAATTATATAGTTCAAAGCATACGTATAAAGGCGAGCTTCGGTGCTCTATTTATAAATTGTTCATGAAGCGCGTTGCTATTTTGCCAAGCTTTTTTTTTAATGGATTGTAGAATTTAGTCTCAGCTATTCTAACCCTTCCAGAGATTTTGGCACAACGCCGATATATCGGTATTCTTCTTGATGCTCATAAATACATTGTACCGATCTTCTTCTTGATGCTCATAAATATATTGTACCGATCTTCTTCTTGATGCTCATAAATATATTGTACCGGTCTGTAATGGTTATTTACTTCTTAATATCGATAAAATTTTCTTGTTTTCGCGAACCGCTATTATGTCTGGTGTATTCAAAGTTTGCTCATTTACTTACTCTCTAAAGTTGTGAAATTCGAAGTTCTACAGCTGTTGACAATATTTCTTCTCTGATCGTATCCAAAAATTACATAAATTCAAACCGTCCTCTAAATCAAATTCCACCATTATCGCTTATCTCGCCACCTTCATATGAGTATTCTGAAGGAACGATCCCTTTGTTTCCGTGCTCTTATTCTCTCCCAATCAATAATGCAAATAGCTCAACTTAATTGCACTAGCATCCGTAACAAGTTGAACAATACCTTCCTTTCATGGTGGTGTGGCGATTCTTATATCTAATAGACTTTTATTCTCTTACACATCTAATTTTGCAAATTGTGTACCTATCGAAGCTTGCAACTGCATCATTCACACTTCCTTAGGCGAACTTCTAATCATTACATTTTATATTCCACCTAATTGTAATGTTTCGGATTCTGCAATTAATAGATTATTGTCTTTGAGATCTGACATATCTGCATTAATAAGTGGTGATATTAATACTCACAATGTTTCTTTGTGTTCACATTGTGCCTCTTTTTTATATAATCTTTTTTATATAAATGTATCAAAAATATGCATTCATCTCCCCTTGTACGTCTCCTGAACAGTTTTATACAATTTTTATAGGCGTGGCATTCGATTTTATCCTATTTTCAAAAAAAAAAGAATATTCTCTTTCCATATATATTCATACAAATGGTTTGGTTGAAATGTAATATATAATCTTTTTTATATAAATGTATCAAAAATATGCATTCATCTTGTCTTGCACGGATGTTTTACTATGTAAAAAAATTATGAGTAACTGATTTATTAGTTAAGACCATTCCAGTAATTGAACAAGAACAAGCATCCTACACCAAGTAAATGAACAAGAACAAGCATCCTACACCAAGTAATTGAACAAGGACAAGCGTCCTACACCAAGTAATTGAGCAAGTACAAGCATCCTACACTAAGAAAATGAACAAGAACAAGCTGTGAATGTTTACAAATCGACGCGTGTAACCTGAATTTAAAAAATAGCTGTAGACACGAGGTTATTGTATTTTGCAAACGTCGCATCCCAGTACATGGTAAACATCTCGTTTTTTAGTACGTTTGCTTCCAATTTATTCCAATGCATGTTAGTACGTTCTTCATTGAACCACAAATAATATTGGAAATATATTGCCATTCAAATTTTCGCTAGTTGCGAGCCTGTTGGTAACCTGATGTGACCGTTTTGGATTGATTTGCAGGCGGTTTCGACGAACATCTTGTGTAGAAGTTTTTAAAAAATGTCTCGAAATTTTGTGTGCTTTTTCAATGTTTGCTGAATGTTTTGCAAATTGTGGCCTCGCATATGGATAGATCGCACCGATTTTTTTTTAACCTTCGGCTCTTAATCGATCAAGGATTATTTGTGCGCTTCTTAGCTTTTTATTTTCAGTGTCATTTTATGCGATGTTTCGGTTGAAATAGCTACAAGCAAACGGCCTTGAAATTGACCGCAAGTTATTAATGGCACTTGTAAGGCAGCGTTTTGCTTTCTTACTGATAACAAGTCCGTCCGAACAAATGTCTACTCGTAGACCCCAAGCAGTCTGGTTTGTCTCTTACATGTCTTTTTTTCTTACTAATTATCGTGGGCTCATCCTTCTCCCGCATAAACCATTGACAATTCAATATGTATAAAAGGAAAAAAAAGGGAATTGTATAGACCACTCATTATATGCTACACCTTCAGAAAATGTGCCCAGCCATAAAATGTATGCAAATGTATAAAATGTAAAAAATGTATATATAGTAGAACATATATAAACAATATGCATTAATATTTGCCTAAGGAGACATGTGGTGATCCGCTGAGCAACATGCGAATAGTTTGCTTTTAATTATCAACAAGCGGCCTTTAGCATTGAATTGGTCACATTTTGCAAAGGCATTGACCTAACGGTCCTGTGGTTTTGCAAAATCGTGCCCAACAGATTGTAAAAGTCATACAGAGACTAGCATTCACATACCTAACGGTCGCCCAAATCATACCTGGCTTAGCCTTTTATAAAATCGTACGATAACAATAAGACAGATGTAAAAATATGCATACAAGCAAACACGGCAATAAAGGAAAAAAAGAGGGTTTGTAAAATTTTGCATTGTACATATCATATGACGACAGGATTAACGGTCTGTAAAATTATACGATTTAGTACCTAAGCAAACACTAGCGATAAGATCATACGAGTCGATACTTAAGGCAGTATTAATAGATGCAAGTAAACAAGCTCGATCAGACCTAAGTTAGCACACGTAAGAATAAAATATGTAAGAATAGCATTGTAACACATGGGAAAGTCAAAGTAATTTTGTAACGGGATAGCGATGGTGATTGTGACCATAAAAGAGCGTGTCGCGCCAAGCTCATCCTTTCAGTTGTGTGGTAGCAGCCAAAGGTAAGTGATCACGGACTGCATAACTAGTTGACTTTTAGTGATAGGTTTTTTTTTTGGACTCTACGGATAGGGGGTGGTCAGTTTGGCTTAGCCGTCATCCTTGAACAACTCATAGGCCAGCTAACTCTCCGGATAGGGGACGGTCGATTTGGCTTAGCCTTCATCCCTGAAAGACTCATAGGACAGCTAACTTTTACGGATAAGGGATGGTCGTTTTGGCTTAGCCGTTATCCCTGAATAACTCATAGGACAGCTAACTCTACGGATAGGGGGTGGTCGGTTTGGCTTAGCCGTTATCCCTGAATAACTCATAGGACAGCTAACTCTACGGATAGGGGGTGGTCGGTTTGGCTTAGCCATCATCCCTGAATAACAGAATCTCTTGCGACGTGAAACGATTAGGGACGGACAAGTGGACCGAGGTTGGCTACTACAATACCCGCGGCGTATTCCTTCTCTTTTACAGGATCTCGCGGCACGGTTAAAGCGTAAAAAAAATAATAATAATCTTTCGGGACGAACCAAACCAAGAGTCGGGTCACCACGCTAGTTTTTTTTCTCCCACTCCCCTTAAAATCGCTCATCTACTGTTATCTCCTCAGAAATAAATAAGAATATAAAAACAAAAGCCGAAGGTCCAAGTTATTTTCTTAATATAAATTTTCTTGGAAAGAGTCCTGGGCAGGCTGAGTGCACCCCGCCCAAAAAGACTCGTTACACATTTTAAAACCTGGGATCGGAAAAAGCGACCTAACTGGTTCAATTTCGGTACAGCTAATTTTTATGTCAAATCATTGTTATGAGTGGATTTTCATCAAGAAGTATTGAAGATTAGACGTTATTATCATACAAGAGATTCAGTTTCTGTGGGAACGATAATATGGTATGGGATTCAAAAAATTGTCCCATCTGATCCAAAGTTTTCAAACCTATTTAGAATGCCGAAATACTATTACTAAGCGATTTTTGTTGCGAAAATTTAAAAATTACAATATTTTTTCTCATAATTTATCAAAATAGGACGTTGTATGCAGAGTAGTGGTACCAAGGCCACTACTATGGTTTCTTCGTATACGTCTATTAAAATCGTAAGCCACATTACAAATTTACCTCTCGCGCCCGCTTGGACTTGTGGATGGTATGGTCCAGCGAATAAACGATGATTTAAACCAGAGAGTAAGGTCGGATTTTAACGGTTTAAAGTTAGATTTATAGAAAAGTAAAGCTATTGTAATATCGCTCAGAGATTATCATTCCTGTTCTTTGTTACGCGTTATAACGGTCGATTAGAATATTGAACTTGTTAACGAAGTCACGAATTTTGATTTTAAATGAGCTGTTATGAATGGGCATCCTAGGAGTTTTAATCTTACCACCATATGCTTTGATGGTATGGTCTAATTTTTAAATGATGGTTCAGCTCGAAGTCTAGCAATTTTGAATAGCTTTTAACCCCAATTGCGAGGGAGTCGGATTTTTTGATCAAGGTCAGTAATTCGGAGAATGTACAACAACCCGTGCCAGTCGTGAAAGTTGAAGCATCTTAGTGAAGTATGCGATTAAGCAGAACTTATCCAGAATCATCTACCACATCGCAGCCAGATAGATTTAGAGCCGTCTGTACTCTCTATGTAAAATTCTTTGATCTGAAGACATATTTACCCAAAATTCATCAGGAAAACCAATTATTAATTAGTTTTTTTTTAGGTAAAATTGTATTTCACTCGTTATCTCTTTCGCGAATCTACTTCTTCTCTGCATGCGTCTGGCGCAGCCCGAATGAAATGAGTGGGCAATCGTTTAGGAAAACAAAAATTCTTTCAATTTTGAATAAAATAGAACGCAAACTTTAAGGAGAATTAAAAAATTAGTTGGATCAAAGAATTTGTTAGAGTGGTGCTCTTGTCATCAATCATCAATACGAAATTTTAAATAGGTCTAGCCATCACCCTCTATTATCTGTAGTTCAAACTTCCATGAGGAGATCTTAATTGGAACCCACCTCAAACCATATCATTTTTCTTCTTTTCTTCAATTAATTTACTGAAATGTTTGTCTCTGTGCAAAAACTGGTATTTCGAGATTATACATTTACATAAGAAACCTTCCGAAAAACAACTGAAAAGACCATAGTCCGGCAAGGATGGCTTAATTTAAATAACGTTGTGTCGCGACAAAAAGAAACAGAAGCAATATCAAGTTCGGATGGACCCAGATTGGTTTCAAATAGGCCTAGCACCCGCGTATTCAACACATTCCATGTGTTTGTTTGCGTAAATGTGATCATATGGTTGCGCTCAAAAAAATGTGTATGCTTGTGTGTCTGTACGATTAAGCTCGAAACTGAAACAGCACAAATCATAAAATATTGAATTTGTAGAATCCTCTAAAATTGCAAACAAAAAGGGAAACAAACTAGTGGTATAATCACGTAGCCGAAAGTTATCTTTCACTTCTGTATCGAATCGTTTTTACCAAACAGCAAAGGCACATTTACAGAGCGAACGTAATACTCTATGCTATTTACAGAAAGAATGTAATACTTTATGTTAATTGTAAAGCCGTCGACAAAAATATATTCAATTCTGTTAATAGCAGTATTAGTAACTAATGTTTATTTATTTTTTATTATTAAATGTTTTCATATAAAATTTAAACAACAAACATACACGGTGCTACCGTTACAACAAAAACCGCATACGGACCTATCTTTAGAGCAGTAAAATAGACACAGGACTACTTTTACAGCAACAAAATGCATATGTTCCTCCCTTTGAAATGTAAACAATAACACAATAGCAGGACAAATGTAAACAAAAATTAGAAAATTTCCTTTTGACAGAAAGGAAACTGATTGAATCAAAACGTTTCAACACAGGCATATTAACATATTCGCCTTCCATTATGCTGAAGATGGAAAATGTAAAATCTATTTAATTACGCACACAGCGCAAGTGTTTATATATTTTTAGACGCCTATATCATTTAAGTGCACTTTTCAGAAGGTCAATATCTCTTTTTATTCCTTTAAATAATTAAACAATCATTGCAATAAGATGATTGTAGGCGTGGTAAAATTTGGGATGGTCGAATCGTATGCACATTTGCTAAATGCAAAATGTTGCAATAATATTGCTAGTAAAATTTCCGATCTTATATACATGTTTTTGTTTTCGATTTTTGGTATGTTGCGTTTACACAGATTCAATTTTAACAGAATTCCTTACGATTTAACAGAATTTTTTACACGGCTTCGTCATTTGAACAGAATTCTTTACGATTTAACAGAATTCCTTACACGGCTTCGTCATTTTAACAGAATTCTTACGATTGAACAGAATTTCTTACACGGTGTTGCCAATTTTTTGCCATTTAACAGATATAACAGACGATAAAGATTTTTTATTGCCCATTTTTTCTTATTTATTAAAAGCATCTTTGTGCTAAAGATTTTTTATTGACCATTGACCATTGACCATTTTTCTTATTTATTAAAAGCAACTCTGTGCTAACGGTTTTTTAGCCAGAAATATTTGACATTCGCTCGTGAAAGGTTATTATATTTGAAAAATTTTTACAAGTGTTAAAATAAAGAAAGAAAATATAAAAATTATAACTATTCAATAAAGTGTAAAGAATTTGTAGTGTATTTCAAAAACCGATAGCACATATTGCATTAACTGGTGAATGGTTTCGTTGTTACTTAGAATTTAATTTTTAATAAAGGAGACCCATCTAAAATGCATTTCGCTTAGAATTTCGTTGGTGTCTCCTTAAGAAATCACATATTGTTGTTTGTTTTTATTCATTAATGAAATTTTAGAATAGGTTTTTTCATTTAGCAGTACTTTCTTTCAATTTCCATTTTTAATATTGGCGGCATACAACAACAAGTTTTCCATACTGCTTATATATTTGCAGACTGCTTGCATACAAATAAAAAGTAACGGCTAAATGCAGAAAATTATTCTGTACATCTTTTGCCAAACAAATTGTACAGACACATATATCGATGATCGCCTTTATTACTTGGTGAAATAAGCCTAACCGCTTCTCTAGGCACTTTATCTTGGTTAAACTTACTCAGTGTAAATATAATTATAAGCCGTTTAATCCGCTCAGAGTAGTTTGCAAGAACCTAAATGAAGTCTATCACTTATTCTCGTTATCGTCCATTAAAGCAACATTGCTTAATACGCGCGATTTACCTATGTCGTACTTAAACTAGCTTTTATCCTTAAAAGCCGATACGATTCGAAAATGAATTGTTGTTAAGTATTATCGGTTGCCAGGCTTGTGCATGTTTGCGATGGGTTAGGGGTTCATTTGCAATTTGGACCTGTACCGGTTGTAAGTGTGGCTCTACGCTGGTTGTGTACATGCTTTTTTCTTTTTTTTTCCTTCTTATTTGTTTTATTGTACTCATACTAAGTTTTATTATTAATTTAATATATGTTTTGCTTTAAGTGCCAATTGAAATCGACTGTTATTTGTTTAGTTGAGTTTCATGTATAAGTAGAATTAAAATAAATAAATAAATAAATAAATAAAATATCGATGGAAACTACATAAAAGTATAAAGTTCAAATAATGATAGTTTCGTGAACACGATCTTCATATTTATTGTACCAAATGTGTTTTATATTACTACTGTTGCTATATTTTAATAAGGTTTTTTGCATTGATTTGGCATTTGAACAGATCTGATGACAAATGCGTTGCCATTTTTGACTATTTTTCTTATTCTTTACAAACAACACTGTGAACATTCTCCACACATTCTTATTCTTCTTATTGTTCTATTTTGGTGTAAACGAAATAGCCAACTAACGGTTTTTTAGCCAAAAACCATTTTACAAGCTCCTCAGAAAGTCCGACATAAGAAAAATTGTTTAACAAGTGATTCCACCAAAAAATTTAAAAAAAAACCAATTAAACAAAGAATATTAAGAAAAATAAAATAACATTATAAACGCACTCTTTCTATGTTGTGTTACTTTGTTGTGTACTTCGATAAATGCATGTTCGGACGTAGAATGTAGCTGAAAAATGTTTAGGAGGAAAATCTCCTTGTTTGTGTTTGAAGTTTTGCATATCGAACATATTGAAGATCTATTTCCTTATCTAGATGATATATGCTTATTCGGTTTTACTCTTAATTTATTGGTTACCAAAGAGTTTTTTTTTGTTGTTTAACGAATTATGTTTGGAATGTGATCAAATACAGCGGAGATAAATTCAAGAATAGCTTAATGGTCGAACTTCACTAAGCAGAGAACTGAGATAGTAAATTATTCTGCTATTTTTGCGAAGCGATTCAACTGAGGTCGGAAAAATCGAATATATCGCGTGATGTAAATCCGAGTAAAACTGAAATTGAAAAATCCTTAACACTCTTAATAGGCTTACGAATAATGGTAAAAATTTACGTCAATGTTTCGCCATGTCGATTTGTAGATCAGTTTTATGACATTTAAACTGTTTGAGCATCCTTCGGAGATCTGAACAAATGTGACGCCTTCCGGTGTGATACGAACCTGAAAACTACCTTCAGTAGGTTGCTTATAATTGTTAAATTGTAAAATTATATCACGTCGCGGGGCCAAACCATTCCACTGACTGTGATGGAATTTCATTTGACTGCTATTCAGCACAATGCAGCAATACGTGTGCATTTCGGTAGCCAAATGCTTTACACAAAAGTAGCCTTTTTCGATATAAAAGCAAGCGTCATGATGTGCGAAAATGTTGAGATAATTCTCTTCGAAACGTTTCTTCAACTCGGCTAAAGTCCGAATTGGATCCTTGATAACCAAATATTTTTTAGCATCCTCCTTGTAGTTGTGAAAAGGTTCGGAAACATATCCACATATACCTTGCTCGGTTATATTTAAAACACATTTGACGTGTTGGGTTTCCAAGATAAAGGTCACCTCATTTTGCGGACTATTAAGGAAAAATGTACAAAGAAAAGTTACATATTCTATATAAAAATATTTTGTACGCCCGACCTTAACTAACACAAAAATCTAAAAAAGTTACATTCGCACAAGGTCGATTGCATGGTATATCCAGCCAATATCTTAATCTAATACATTAGGATTTTGATAACCATGGAAGTATTCACGCCAAGTACCATGTCAATCAATATCAATCATAAGTTGCAAGATATAATTTTTTGTACATTGTACACGTGTTTAACGGCGTTTTTAAATGGATTATACCAGAGACTACTAAATGGTAAGATGAACTATCATTTTGCCCTTGGCAACACAGAATTGTGTGTGGCCCTGACCTTGCAAATGTTTGAGGGGATCCAAAGTGATATCAAAAAATGATTAAAAAAATAATTGCCCATATAAATAATGAGAATCAAAGAGTAAGCAGTCAAATGGCTGCTAATTAAGCGCGTTACTACTGCAATAATCCGCAATAATTGCCCAGTTTAAATTTCAAAAACAACGTTGGTCCAAAACGAATTTTTTGATTTGCAATTTTTTTTAAAGCAGTGTAAACCCATATGATTATATTGTTACAAATTTCCGCTTTTCTATTACAAGATTCGTACCACTAGATCGTGGATATTTTGTTGAAGAGAAATACACTTCAAAGTTCCCTTATTTACAATTATATTCCTTAAAATGTAGGATTATTCACAATTTATTTTTGGTAACACTTTCGACTGCTCAATTCGAAATTCTTTTTCTACTAACCCTCCCTTAAACAAATCATATTACTGGTACCTAATTTTATAGCTTCATTTTTTAATTCGTTAACCTGCTTCTCTGATACTCGTTTTCCTCGGCCGGCAGCTGCATGACGCGCTGCGAATATGCATTTTGTTTTTCCCTCTTTAGGGATTTTATTACAATGCAATGAATAGGATTTGGGATTTCCGTAACAATATGTAATGCGATTATAAAATATAAACTGCAGCTTATAGCAATGACTCTAAGACATCCTATCAATATTTGCGCCAATGCTAAAACTATAGAGAGAAGGCGAAAAACTGACTCTATTTGAAATGTTTACGATTGAGAGGATCATATTTGCACACTATCCATTGGTTAAAGTAATAGCAGTGAAAATTGTTTCCTAATATATAACTTACTCAGTCTCACCAGGTTGTACAGCCCAATACTTAAATGGGAAGTGCTCGTAACGATTACAGGCAAGACCTAAGGAACCTACAATGCATCCCAAAAAAGAAAAGTTAGTTTCTGTATATTAACTTACGGTTGATTTTTTACTCATACCCAGTCGATCAGTTTCGACCGTAAACGTCTTTTTCTCCCTATTCAAGCTTGAGAATTTAATATGTTTGGTAGTCCAATGTGAATAAGTTCCGGTTTCAATGTTTTTCGTTTTTTGCAGACTTTCATCCGAAAGAAAATCGGTATTAATCGATGAGAGTTTTCTCTCTGTCGATATGCTTTTTCTGCTTGAGGCAGGAGAGGGATCACGACTTACATTAATTTTATTCGTCGAGTTTCTTCGGTAGGCAATAGAGCTTGTGCTTCCTCGATGTCTTAATGTATCCAAGTTTGTGATTACGGGGGAATTGTCAACACTGTATATACTTGGTCGGCTTTTTCCTCTTAACGAAAGGCCATTTGATCGTTTAAGATGTGATGGTTCAAGCAATTGAAGATTTTTGCGAGTTTGACTCGTTTGCAAAACATCTTTCGTTGCTGGGTGCGATCGTTTCATATGCCAAATTCGGTGAAAGTAGTTAAAAGCAAAATTTTTAATTAAAAGTAACGCCCTGACAAATTGGTAAAAGGTTTTAGGTCGCTTGTGTAAAACGATGTCAAATGGTTGCTGAATGTTAACAACGTGAAAAGGTTTCACTTCATCGAACACTTTAAATATGCGCTCTGGATTATTTTGGAGTTTGCCAAAAGTATATGGAGAATCGAGGTGGTTTCCTTCTTTAGCATTCGAGCGAAATAAAATTCGCTTCCGACGTTTCATTTTTTCAAGTTCATAGTCTCGTTTCTCTTCTTTAATCTCTTTCGGAAGTTTATACGAAGATAAGATTTGAGGGACGCAAAATTGTTGAATCAATTTCACTTGATCGTTTGTTAAAGGAAGATCTAACGGGAAATCTTGTACGTTTAACTTAGGTAAACTCTTTGGCAGGATCATTGAACTAAAGATACGTGTCGACGATGGTGAAGGTTGAAAGTAGTTTGGTCGAGGTGGACGCAGAGCAGAGCTACTAAATAAAGGGTCATTTAATTTATCTAATTTGACTGCTTCTAATTCATCTTCGAAAATTTTTAATAATTTGGTAGTCTCTTCTTCTCGCGTTTTCTCCTCCGCTGTTTCAACAATCGCAACGTCTTGGCCCTCTTCGAAGTGACATGCAACTGGCTCACCCCAATAACAAAGGTAGTCGGGCAGATAGAAGATTAGAACAAACATAGGATTTTCTGGATCTACGTCCGCTTTCTCGGTGTCATTTGGTGGAGCGAAATTCAAAGATTTCCTGACGTTCGCAAAGCTTATTCGGGGAGATCTGCGCCTTAAGTGAACGCTGGTAGTGAAAGAAGGACTAGGAATGCGTAACTCTTTTTCCACAATTAATTTTCGGCCATCTGAATGCCAGATCATGCCGACATTGCCGATTTTAATATTTAACGGTTGTCGTACATAATTTATTTGATAAACACCACCTAAGATTACGAATTTTCTGAGATTAATCTATAATAATTATTAAAACATTGAACGTAAATGGAACGTGAGTTATAACTAAGTCAAGACAAAATGTAAATAAAATATTATACCTCATCATAACATAGATTAAGGGTTGCAGGATTGTATACAATATTTAAAAAGGTCTCATATTGTTTCTGTTCTTTTTCGAGAAATTCATTGAATATGTCGGGACGTTGATTATCCGCAAGGTATTGGGGTGGGGAAGGTATGCGTATCTCTTCTAATTTCTTTTGGATATTCTTGCTCCTTTTTTGAAGTGATTTCAAATCAGCAATATACTCGAGGAGTGTAGCAGTTTTTACTTCATAGTCATGATATCTGTCTACGATTTCATTATACTTTTTTTTTTGCATCCCGGTTACAATTTCGTATTCGCGTTTTACGTATTCGGGTAATTCTGCATATAATATACATAAGTTAAATGTTATGGAGCGGTAGGAGAGATGAACAAAATCATAAAAATTTTAATACAACCTTGTATGCCACCAATAAGATTTCCTAAATTTACGAAGATTTTTCGTCTAAAGCTTTTCGTATATTCGCTAATGGTATCCAAGTTCATATGGACTGCTTGTATACACAGGTTAGGTCGCAACATCGAGTAGGGTACGTGTAAGAAAACTCTTATGTTGTGTAATTTAATCATTATACGCGGTTCACTGGAAGGGCCATAATTATTGAACGGCGTATAAGGGAATGTTTGATGGATAACTTACTCTAAATGTGTGAAGCGTATAGGAACATTTTTCAGGCTCCATATGTGAATTCGAAAATTATTACCAGAGAAACAGTGCTCACCAGAAATAGCACCTAACGAACTATACAAGAAGGAAATATAAAAAAAGGAAAAATCAGTAAGAATTTTCGTTTGTTTATCTCCTTTGATGCACAATAGTTGGCTTCGCTCCTAAGGTTTAATTTATACACTATTTGTTGGAAACACAAAGGGAAGCGGGGAAATTATAGCAAGTACAATCGAGAAATATGTACAGTTTTGTTTATGAACGCTCATTCTTAATGTGCTGGTAATTTTATGTCTATATATACATATTATGAAGACTGCGTCTGAACGTAAACAAGTAAAAGCACTATAGGGGGTCACGGAATTCCATAAAAATATACCAAAAAATGTCGCCTATAGGTTGGATGCAAGAAAAAAATGGAGGGACGGATAGACAGGGGGACAAGTCTATATCGATTCAGAAAGTGATTCTGAATGGATCCGTATAATAAAAGGGGGGCCTATCTTATGTCACACATCCATCCAAACCTAATATGCTCCTGTATCACAATTAACTTAAGGTATAAAAGTTATTTGAAACTGGGATTAAAAAAGGCAGATGTTTCACTTCAACGTTACTTACTCCATGTAGGCATCACCGCTAGATAAGATCCTATAGGTTAAAGTGTTAAAAGTTTCATCTATTTCTGTATGTATAAACTTTTTCAAATCGACGATATCCTTCAAGACTTGCGGATTGACTTTCGCAGTCGCGTTGTTATCTCTCAAAAAGGCATCAATCCTTTTCAAAATTTCCAAGTAATCGCCAATCATTTTATCGTATTGAATATCCAATTGCGGTTGTTTTTTCGACAAGGTACGACGTGTGAGATCCTTTTTATACGTTTGCTCAAGTATGCTTTGCTCGTTAACGAAGTACGTCCAGTTGAAAGATTGTGTTACATTTCGGTTATCAATATATTTTAACTTTGTATCATATGAGCGGATTTCGGGGGAAGAGCTACCTTCCGGACGAGGATCACATTTTAGATAGAGGTTCCATTTTTCCGCTCTCAATTGTTCATCATCCTCTGCTTGGCATTTAACTTTAGCTACTGCTTGTATTAAAAAAATTTTTTTCCCCTATTATCTTGAAAGCCGAAAATTAATCAAAATTACCTTCCACTAGATCAAGGCAAGTTTTTGCTTCTATTAAAATTCGGGAATATTTTTGTTCACGAGCTTTAGCTTCCTCTAAGGGAATGACCTTCTGCTTTTTGTATGCTTTAGGAGTTGGAAATTGATTGTTGCCAGCAATCGGAGATTTCGACATTTTGCTTTTTTCTTAATTTTGTTTTCAAATTTCTTTCTTTTTTGTCTTTTCTCATTAATTTTATTGTTCCTCATATACGAGAGGAAACATGTTCACTGAATAAATTGTTGAAACTGATCGATTAACGGTTGAAGGTCTTCGCAATTACCGCGAGAAAAGTCGAACAAAATATTATGAATAAAAAAATGATATAAAGAATAAGTAAAAAATTACAAAAAAATATAAAAACTATGAAAAAATATAAAATGTTCTTTATAATGAACTGTATAAGACTAAATGAAATGTATTCTATCTGGAAAACATTATTGACTTGTTTTCTTTTCGATGATCGGTGTTCGAAACATTAGAAGGTGCATCATAGTGAACTAAAACAAAATTTCGTATTAATTCAAAAATTAAATTCAGATGAACTATTAACGAATTTCAATAGGTTAAAAACTAAATGGATACAACTTTTGTAAACTCTCAGTGGAATAATTTATTCATGCAATAGAATGGACTTCGTTTTCGCACCATTAACTCACCAAATCGCGTATATGCTTTGTGAAAACATGGTCAAAAGAATTCCATGACCCTTATATTACTAGACATTGCTCAACCAATATTGGAATATTCATTGTAGTCCGGACAGACTACACATTGGTCACATAGACTCGGCCCAATGTGTGGCTTTTTACTTTTTGTTCTATATCGTTTAGAGAGGAGTCCTCGTTTAGATCTTGCGCCTGCCTTTATGCTGATTGATCTATCTGAACAGAAAGGAAGACGTGAAATGTTGGCAGTAATTTTTATTATAAAATTATTATTGGTTTCTCCCTCCCTTCGCTGTCAGATCCTCTGTACATTTCTTTGTCGCAAAATCTCTTCTCGAAGGGATATCAAGCGTAAGGTTTACCTGTCATGTTTTAAGTGGTCCACGGATATCGCCATGCCGAGATGTTAGAATCATAATTATAAATTATTTGATTTTTAAGCTTAATTCCTCCGATTTCTCGCTTTACTTATTGTAATTGATAAGTTGTTTTTGATATAAAAGATCATTAAGAATTCTTCGTAGGCTCATCATATTTGATGAATTTTTCGTGATATCAAGGCAGCAAATTTAAGAGCTTGCTTCTCTAATTAACTTTGCGCTGATGATTTCAAAGCGTTTTCCTTGTCTAACTTGGAACCATATTCGTGCCCCCTTCAAGCCGATTTAGGTGATTTGGTTATGTGTTGCTGATTTAATCTACGGCGTTAAATATTTAAAATGCAAGAAGCATTCTCAAGAAGGAATATTTTTGGAAATGTGCATTTATGTGTTTCGTTCGATCAAAGGATTTGTTTTAACCTATATATAGAGGCCTCTGCAAATAAAGTTGAATCGATGCTACGCTTCATTAAACTTCTATCTGTGGATCCGCTTCAGCATTTCAATCTGACCCTGTTATTGGCGTCACGTCGATTGAATTGAATTGCTTCAGTCTTGTTTTTCCTCTTCGAATAATGATTGGATGCCCTAATCTCCTTACTACGTTATGAAAATATATTGCAACTTTTTGCCCTGCATTCACTAGAGAAACACAGGTTTATCGTAGGCATTCCTTTTGTGGTTAATTAACATTGTCACAGATTCGTCGGCTTTATTAACTTCAATCTTCCTACCTGTACTTCTATGGAAACTTTATTTTCATAAAACTCAGCCGCCCGTTTGAACAGCCGACTAGACAAAAGATCTCGACTAACAACTCGATGATAATGGATTAAAATCTCAAGTGCGGTATAGTTTTCAATAAAGCCGATGCTATTGCTTCAAGACTTTGCTCTTAGAATTTATTCATCTAGGTAAATTATAATAATAACAACAATAATAAAGCCCAGCCGATTTTGAGCTCTTCAATTGTTTAAGGTTCTGTTGAAATTGATATCTAAAACCTAGTGAACTCTTCTTAATGCGCTGCCTGAGCGTTGACGTACTTAATTTGTGTTCTTCAACGCTGCATACGATTTGTTAGTAAACATAATGTGTTTGCTTTTAGTGATCCCAAAGTTTTTTGCATATTTGAGTTGGCTTAGTTGTACAGTGCTAGCTCGGTTCGACATCGGCTGCACCGTTAGACAGTTGTAGCAAAATGCATATAGACTTTGTGAAATATATTCAAAGCATTCAACAATTGATACTCTGAAAGAAGGCCCTAGAGTTCGTTTCGAATCTAATTTATTAGTTATAATTTTTTATAACCTCATAGCTTAAATTTAATATATATCAGGAAAAGTTCAGTGGTCGGACTTCATGCAGAAGACTTATGAGGGAATCAAACAGTGTGCTATCTCTGCAATGCAAAGAAATTGCGCCCGAAAAAACAGAACATAGCGTGCGATGCAAATCCAAATACAGCTTGTAAATGAAAAATGCAGCAATTTATTGTTATACGTAAAGGGTAGAAAGGAAATTTGACTCACTTCAAAATTGCACCACATTGGCTGTATCTCAACATGGTATTAGCTTCCAAATTGAACGGGCATTCTTCACTAACCTCAACAAATGTGACACCTTCTGGTGTGACGTGATCCTCAAAATTATTGCCACTCGGCCGTTTGTAATTATTACATTGTAAAATGATATCACGTCGCTCAGCTAAATGATTCCACTGACTACAGTTGAATTTCATCTGAATATTATGTAAAGCCATATAATAATATGTATGGTTTTCGGTGGCTAAATGCTTCATAGAATGATAGCCAGTGTCTATATAAAAAGATGCATCATCGTTAGCAAAAATGTTTAGATTCTTTTCCTCAAACAGTTTCCTCAGCAATATCTCTAATGGGATCTTTGGTAATCAAATACAATTTGGGATTCTTGTTGTGCTCGTTTATATCGACAGGCTCCGAAACGTGTCCACGTATTCTTGGTGATATTTAAAACGCATCTACCATGCTGAGTATCGAATTGAAAACCACTTCATTTCCAGGATTGTCAAGTACACAAAAAAGACAAAGAGTCAAACTTAGATACCAATCAATTTGGATCGAAACTTCTTGCATATTTGCGCAATCTTAACTAGATAACCGAAATATATGAATTCTTACTTTTTTGGATTGATATTTTCTCTCAGTTAACTTAATGGACTGTAGCTAGTTAACTTTTAAAGAAGACTTCAAGTTGAAATCGATTCCAAGTTAGGTGTGAATATTTGTTACGTCTGCTGGTTCGCCTTCATTCGCGTTCATTTTAGGCTACGATATTCAAATATAATATATATATGATAAACTTTGGTTTAAAAGACCATAGCTAACTTAGAAAACATATTACTATGTCACGTGTTCGGCTCGTTCGCAGTAATGTAAACGATTTTAGGAAAATAGAAAAAATTAAAAGGTAGTTTCCTCGATCTAGACAACGCAGGTTCTTATTATATTTGGTAGTTATTTTGCTAACATATAAGAAGAATTTATTTGATTCTAAACTTCACATACAAATCTTCTTATCTTTTTCTTAGTGTCATTGCTAATAGAAAGCTTACTCAACTGCACTTGACTGCATCGCCCAATATTTGAATGAAAAGTATTCGTATCGCTTAAATGCAAAGCCAAGGACGCCTACAAAGAAATGTAAAACTTAAATAACAAATGTTGTTTGGATTTCTGCACGTACTTAACCAGTCAGTTTCGACCACGAATATTTGCACCTTCCTAATAAAACGTGAATGTTTAATATGCTTGGTGGTCCAATGGGAATATGTTGTAACGTCAGTATCTTTCAAACCGTCTAACATTTCCATGGACGCAGAATCACCATTAATCCTATCTTTTCAAGCTGCTTCTCTTAATGGTAGGATTGTCCTTGCCGGAACTTTCAAAGCAGTGAAACTAGAGTCTGCTCTCGTTTGTTTTTATTGGAACTCTACTCTTCAGCAGTAGTATCCAATGATCTATAATTAGAATGTAAAATTGGTAAGTAAAAATATTAATTTTTTTAGACGGTAATGCGCAACTTAAGGTAACTTTTGATCCTAGGCTCAGTTAATTATACGCAACATATTTATTCGATTTAATTTTGAAACGAGTGCAAAAGGTAAGTTCTTTGGAATTGGATGGAGGTTTTCTAATATGCAACGGCAAGGTTTTTTCAAAGAAAGAAAACAGTTTTTTGGCCGTTTTCTTAGTGTAAGTCGATTTTCAAAAAAAGTGAGGTAATGAAGGTGAGATAATGATAAATGCAATCGACGGTGTGGTTTTCAAGTACAAACACTTCCCAAAAAAAAAAAACCTGAAAAATTGTTATCATTTTGTCAATGTAAATTTACATTACTGAAATTACAAATATAACTAATTTGAAAGTATCTAAAAGCTCATCAAAATCGTCAGCATGAACTCATCAAAAACTTATTTTTTAATTCCTTTCGGCTAATACTTTCGACTAATACAAAAAGGAACCCATTACCTATCGCTTCAATCAATTGAATATTTAAGCAAGTAAAAACTCTGTAGTGCGACACGGCTCGCCATTAAATACCATGCACCACTTCGCTTAATACGGTTATTTATATAATGACTTTTCAAAATAAAGTGTTGTGTGGGAAGTAGTCGAGAAAGTCGCCTTACTTAGTATACTTTCTTACCTTACCTCTTACAAATGGTGCATGGTATAAAAACATTGACTGAGCCTATTACACGTACTAATATTTTTTAAATTTTATTCAAATACAAACACTTACATATCATAACAAATAATAAAAGATGGAAACGAACGCGGCTCAATTATACTATGTATATATGTAAAAATTATGAATACGTGTATATACGTGAATATATTCAAAACGGTATAGTAATTTTTAATTTAAGACGAACATTAACAATGAAGTAGGGATGGTTGAGAAGAGCCGCATAAAAGTTTTTTAATTCCTTCTATGCTTACGTTACTTAAAGGGTGCTCTAGCCAATAGGACCAATGAATAAATAGATTAAATATTTTAGACCAATATTGATAGCAGCACTGATCCTAGGGCAAATTGAGGTTGTTGCTAAAGAGATACAAGTCAAGCTACTATAAGAATACTACCTACTCCGTATGCGCATCTCCGCTTGATAAGATTCTATGAATCTTAAGCTTAATGAATTTAAGCTTTCGTAAATTTCGGTATTTATTATCCCTCTTAATTCGATAATACGCATTAGAACATAGAGTTTCGCTGTCGCCTTATTATCTCGCAAATAAGTATTAAGCCGTCTTGAAATTTTCAAGTAATCAGCAACCATTTTGTCGCAGAAAAGACCTAATTCCGGTTTTGTTTTCGATAAAGCGCGACGACTTAAATCTTGCTCCCAACATTCCGTATATATGCTGCTCTCGTTTAAGTCAACAACCAATTTATGGTTTCTTTTATATTAATATATTCAAGCATTTTTATATTTCCTCTATACGCCCGTATTTCGGGCGGTGTATCGGGTTGAGGATAAGGGTCACAATTTACGTAAGCTTTCTGTTTTTCTTCTTGAAATCGCTTATCAACTTTCTTTTCGATATTAATGGCGTCTTCTATAAATATGTTCAATTTTCCTCTGTAATTAAGACAATAAATAAACGAAAATCCATTTGACTATAAATACCATAAATAAATTCAAGCCAATTTTTTGTTTCCATTAAAAGTTGTCAATACATTTCTTTATGCACTTGAATATATTTTAGTTTAATTATTATATATCGTCTTTGCGGCAATGGAGGGAGAGTTAGCGTTGATTTTGTATGGCTCTCTTCTTTCTTCATATACGAACATTTCTTAGCGGGGTCTGGAGCTTTCATCATTTCTTTCTTTTCGTTCCCAGAATTGTTTTAGTTTTGATTTACTTTCGTCACTTGAGCTGTCTCGGTGTTGAAAGAGGTATTGTGATCAGCGAAATTTCGAACGGTTCGAAATTTTGACGACATGAATGCAATCGCGAACAATTAACGCGAGATAATCGAAAGGTTTTATTGCAAAAATAATGTATGAAAAACGCAAAAAAAGTATAAAAAAAATGTATAAAAAATAAAAATATATGAAAAGTTGTTTAGAATGCTTCTATGACAAAACTAGGCTTGATGGTACTTATAAGGAAACATAGCCGCATGAGTAGCCGCGTAGGAGTTCAGATCTTATTGCAGTAGAGTTTACTTAGATCATATTTATAGCGAATGTTCAGTCGGTAAAGTTAGAAGGCCTAGCGATTGTGCACACAGCCATTGGTCTGATGTGAGTGATTGGCCATATGAAAATATTAAAAACGAACAAAAAAGAGAAAATGGTTAACCCTAATGGATACCCACATCCAAATTAACTGTCTATCGTTTGCTTGCAGCCAACTACAAAAAAAGAAGAAAATAAATTGCTTGAAGAAATTGTAAAGTGCTGATCTCGATGGACCATCATGGAGAACGTCGCAAGCTCTTTAAACAATATATCGTATTTTTATTTAAGCGTGTTGGCCTGTCCATTCGCCCGTCTGCGCAATGCCTGCGATTATGATAAACATTCTTTTATTGGCGAAAATCAAGCCGTCGCCTTGGAATTGGCGGAGCCAATGGAAGCTCTTTCACACAGATTGGCATTGAAAATGAGCCATGTCTGAGAGTGCAATATAAACAGTTTCCTGGAATTTTTCCTCATTACCTCTAAATAACAGTAGACGCACGCAAAAACTACCAAGGCCATTGTACGAAAATTGGAAAAAATCAAGCATGTCCATCCAATAACATAGAGTAACAAAGCTTAACGTTATTTTTTTTTTTTTTTTTTGTACATGTTATGTTTAACATGTACAAAAGGTTTGGTTAAAAGCAAGTAAAATTTTCCTATTCTTTTTATTTGCCTAGAATTAGAAATTCATTATTTGCGTAGAAATGAGGGCAATCATACTAATTTAACTCGCGTAAGCGACGAGCAAGTCAATTTCATCGATTTCATTTTCCATCCATATAAATTCTTTACTTCCAAATAAGGTAAGAATTGTCAGCCATTATCATAAATTTTTGAGAACTTGTTACTTACTACATATGATCTCTTGAGGGGCTGACTAACCACTGCAAGGAAGAGATAATAAATCAAGAATGACAGTAACATTGTTTTGACCAAGTTTAGTTTATTTTATCGCAATTCTTTTAAAACACTTCGATGCTTCTTAATCATTTTTATAGTTTAATCTCAAGTAGTGTCAAGAGAAGCTCAATGGCCGTACTTCATGGAGAAGGCATATTACAGAGTCAATCAGTTTGTTGTTTATGCGACGCGAAGGAAATGCACTCGGAAAAACCGAACATATCGCGCGATGCAAATCGGAATATAGCTAGAAATGGAAACTATGACTTACATAACTAACGTTCTTAAATTGAAAATTTGACCTACTTCAAAATTGCGCCATGTTTGATTGTATATCAATGTATTATTAACTTCCAAAGTGAGTAGGCATTTCTCAGTGATTTCGACGAATGTGACGCCTTCTGGTGTGACGCGAACCTCAAAATTATTGTCACTCGGCCGTTCGTATTCATCAAATTGTAGAATGATATCACGTCGCTCAGCTAAACGATTCCATTGACTAAAGTTGAATTTCATCTGAGTGCTATGTAAAGCCATACAATAATATGTATGGTTTTCGGTGGCTAAATGCTTCATAGAATGATAGCCATTGTCTATATAAAAAGATGCATCATCGTTAGCAAAAATGTTTAGATTTTTTTCCTCAAACAGTTTCCTCAGCGCGGCAATATCTCTAATGGGATCTTTGATAATCAAATACATCTTGGGATTCTTGTTGTGTTTGTTCATCTCGATACGTTCCGAAACGTATCCACGTATTCCTTGTCCGGTGATATTTAAAACGCACCTAACGTATGGTGTATCTAGAGTAAAAACCACTTCATTTGCAGGGCTGTGAAAAAGTAAAAGAAATCAAATTTAAATGCTTGATTGTAAATTTAGTCGTAATGCTTGATTGTAAAGCGTAGTAGCTTTTTGGTCGTAGCGGTCGCTATTATTATTCTTATTTGTTCGATTTGGGATAAATGTTCAAAACTGCTCCCACAGTTGATTCGGTCAAGTTTTTTAAAATAAAATTTAAAGTTCTTGTATTATTACCCGAAACATATCTCGAAACACTATTAGTGAAAATGCTTATGGAGCTTGGTAAAAACCCTTAACGTCTCTCCCCCTCTTAGTCTGACGTTTGAAAATGTATTTTTGTGTTCAGTGTGCAAGTCGCAATTTTCGACATATTTTAAGAAGTTTTGTTGCACTGATGTGGTTTGGCTCTGGGATGAACGGGCCCGTTTGCGGCTACTGTTTACTATATTACACGACATGCTGAAATCGAATCAGTGGATAGGATTATATTTTGACGAAATTTGTTTTGCTGATATGTTTTCTTGAAGAAGGCTATTGAAAAACGTTTGGATCGGATCATTTTTATATATAACGCCGTGCCCTACATAACGCTGTATTTTGAAAAAATCGGTATATGAAATAAAAAAAAAAATTTCAAAAATTCCCGACAAAAATTGACATAATGTTTTATGCGCCTCCTAAATAAATGTTTTTGCAAGGATTATGCCTTTATAATGCAAAATCATCTAATTTTTAATACTTCACCATGAGAATTGGTTCACAACACGACATAAAAATTAACAGCACCGAATAAGGACCACATATTTATTATTAGGAGTTATGGCAAAAGAAAGTGAATGGTGAACAGGAAAAGGTCTAGAAAAAAATTAATTTTGCTGCATTTGGACTATTTCCAATCTTTGTGCCCTTTCCCTTATATAGGCTTACATAAGAGTTTTTACAAAGAAGGCATATTTTCTGGTTTTTAAGTATGAAAGTAAATGAAGAATTGTATTACCAAATTTAGTGAAGGGTCGGGCTTACTCCTTTACTCAATCGGATGGTTTTATTTTTATATATTCTTAATAGTTTCCCGTTTCATTCTCGTTTAATCGCAATTACAAAATGTGTTTTTGAGTTGGTATACTGTCGAGTTATGTAACACTACGATTGTATTGCATCTCTTGTTGCGTGAAAACCTGATTTAGAAATTTAAATGCGAATTCGTATGTCGTGTTTTGTTGATTTTTCAAAAATTTATTATAAATATATTGATTTGCCGAATTTTTGGAAGAAAAAGGAGCGATGTCGTATAAGAAGTTATAATAATTTGAGAATTTATGAAAGTATTATCCCTGAGAGCTGTAATAACATTTAATTAAAAGTATAATTAGACATAGGCTTTATTAAGTTATGTTCATAGAATTTGTAACTCAGCTCTGCGTTTGTTTTGTTTCAGACACAAATTGAACAGAGTATTAATTATGCAAAGCTTATCGTATCGAAAAGATGTAAAAATGATGGATTTTTCGCTTAATATTGCTAATAGAAAACTTACTCGGCTTCACTAGGCTGCATTGCCCAATATTTGAATGGAAAGTGTTCGTAGCGCTTACATGCAAAGCCAAAGATGCCTATAAGCAAATTGAAAATGTAATTTATTTCAAACAAGTTTCGGCTTGTTTTCCACGCATACCTAGTCGATCAGTTTCGATCATAAATATTTGCTTCTCCCTAATAAAACATGAATATTTAATGTGCTTGGTGGTCCAATGAGAATATTGTATAACTTTGGTGTCTTTTGGTACGTGTAAAATTTCACCGGTAAAGTAATCATGCGTAACGGGCTCTTCGGTACGTTTACTCGTGCTCGTTCTTCGTGATGATGGCGACGATTTTATCAACAGTTTAGACCTTCGTTTCACCGACCTAATGCTAGCGTCCACATTCATTTTTGTTGAAAAGTCAGATTCAATTGAGGGAAGTCCAGATTCTCGTTTCACTGGTGCGTGACTTTCCAGTAAATCAAATTCTTTTGAGGGGCGTGCAGATTCTTGTTTCAATATTGGGCGATGCTCTGTGCTTGGTCTTCGCGATATATCCACATCCTTCGACGAACGCCCAAGTCGTCGTTTCAATGAACTGCGTCTTTTCACTGAAGATACTGCTTTTAATTTAGGTAAAGAATCTGTTTTAGGAAAGTTAAGGGATTTCGATTTTTGCTTAGATTTTTCGTGTTTTTTCTTTGGCGACGCTATAGCAGGACTACGTCTTTTTCCCCGTCTCTTTTCTTCTCTTCGCAATGCTTTATGTTTTATTTCATTTCTAATCTTTTCTAAGTCCATGTTCGAGTTAAATGATGGCAAATGGAATATTTGATTCGAGGTATTTTGGAGAAATTTTTTAATCAATGTTAATGTTTTTACTAATTGATAAAACGTTCGAGGTATACTCGGCAACACATTTTGGAATTGTTGCAATTGTTCAGTAACTTCAAAATCTCTAGTTCGCCCAAAGACCATAAACACGCGTTCTGGATTGTTTTGGGATTCATTAAAATTGAATCCAGGTGGTGGTTGTTGCTCCTCAACTTGTTGAAAATGTAAAAATCTCTTCCGTTTAGCTTTTTTGGCAGCTTCTTCTTGAATCTCTTTCGGAAACTTGTATGAAGGTAAAATTTGAGGCACGCAAAGCTCTTCAATCAAATGCAGTTGTTCCGTTGTTAGAGGAGAATCCAATTGGTAATCTAGTATCTTCACAACAACTGGTAGGTTGGGCAGAGATGTTGAGCTAATATTCCTGTATTCAAAATAGTTTGGCCGAGAATAACGAAGATTTATGCGATGGGCTTTCATTAGCGTATCGTTCAGTTTATCTAATTTTTCGACATCTAATTTATTTGCTAAAGTTGATTGTGAATGACTAATGTCTAGTAGCTTAACAAACTCTTCTTTCGACTTTTTATCTTCCAAGCTCTCAATATTCACAGTTTTCTGGGTTTCTTCGTAGTGACATGCAATTGGTTCACCCCAATAACAGAGATATTCTGGTACATGAAAAACCAAAACAAATAAAGGATGGCTTGGGTCTACGCCTTTTTTTACCGTGTCCATTGGTGATACAAACTTATCACAATTTAAATAATTTATAGTGCCAACAGGTGTCTTAACACCACCCGGGGAAGGCTCGTCAATGCGTATGTCCTTTTCGATAATAAGTTTTCGCTCAGCACATTGCCAGGTCATACCGATATTGCCGAATTTCACATTTAACGGTTTTTGTACAAAATTTACTTGATAAGCTCCGCCCACGATTACAAATCTTCGCAGATTAACCTAAAATGTGTATTATCTTTACAAGATTTGTGGACGTACAGATTAAGATTGAAAGGATACTTACCTCATCAGAATCTAAATTAAGAGTTATAGGATCGTAAGCAATATTTAAAAAGTCTTCAAATTTTCTCTGTTCTCTTTGAAGGAACTCCGCATAAATAACAGGATATTCATTAGCTTTAAGGCGTTGTGGTTTCTGAGAAATGATGATCGCTTCCAGTTCCCGTATTTTAGGCTGAGCTTTTTTTTCTTTTGGTTTCTTTATTTTTCTTAGCCTTTTAAGAGCTTTTCCAACTATTTCCTCATGCTTACGGTGGGCTTTTATGATTTCGGTACGAACTCTTTCTTGAATCTTATTTTGCATTTCATGGTCACGCAATAAGCTTTCAGTTAATACTGTATATCGCCCGGAAAAACAAGTACAGTTATATGCATTGTCATAAATTGACAATCATTTTCAAAATGCACAAATGTTAATAGCCCACCTTGTGTACTGGTATTGAAGTCCTTAGAATACAAGGGAATTTCCAGAATATAACTTTTCGCCTGTTCACTGAGGGTGTCAATGTTTATATGCACTGCTTGTACACATAAATTAAGTCGCAACATTGAATAGGGTATGTGTAGCAAAATATCTAAGTTATGCAGATTGGCCACCATACGAGGCTCACTAGGACGAATTATGGGTTACAATTGTTAATAGATGTGAAATATATTACAAACACATAGAATGATTCGCAACATACTCTAAATGTGTAAAACGTATGGGGACGTTTTTCAGAGTCCATATATGAATTCGGAAATTGTCACCGGAAAAGAAATATTCCTCAGTAACAGGATCCAATGATCTGCAATCAGGCGTAAATGAATAAGTAAGGATGTTTATTTGCAAACTTTTTTATATGTAATTAAAAATTAAAATTTCGTTCATGATCTTAATTAATTGTGTTAGACATTTCTACTCCGCTCAGCTTGAAACCGACTATATTTGTAATAATAAGAGAAGAAAGTAAAGGCTTTAAAAATAAATTATCAATATTTCCGCAACAACGTTAGAATATTTCCAGCTTCCTGGAAGTGTGATGTACACTTACTCCATATATGCATCTCCTCTAGATAATATTCTGTATGTTAAAGAATTAAAAGTTTCGTAAATTTCTTCAGATATCGCATTTTTTAAGGTTGTAATATCCATCAAGACTTCAGCTTTAACTTTCGCGGTTGCCCTGTTATCCCCTAAGAAGGCAACAATTCGTCTCAAAATTTCCAAGTAATCACCCACCATTTTATTGTATTGAAAACCTAATTGAGGTTTCGCTTTCGATAGTGTACGACGTGTAAGATCTTGCGCGCATCTTTCCGTAAGTATGCTGCGTTCATCTACGGAGAACACCCAGTTGAAAGTCTTTTCAATATCTTCATTTTCAAACGTTTTCAATCTTGTTTTATATGCACGTAATTCGGGCGGTTGATCAGGCCGACAATAAAGATCGCAGTTTACATAAGCATTCCAATGTTCTTCCTGCATTTCTTTATCATTTTCCTTTTCAACTTTAATCGCAGCTTCTACCAACAAGAAGAAAATATATTTTTACGTTGGGAATCACACAACAAAAACATATGCATTTAACTACCGTAAATAAAATCTAGGCAACTTTTTGATTCCAGTAGGATTTGGATATACCTACGTTCGCGTGCATTCAATTCTTCCAATTTTATAGTTTTATAGCTTTTTGATGGAAGTAGTGGTAGAGACTGAGAGAAACTTTTGGATTTTTTCTTTTTGTTTTGGCCTTGTTTCGTATTGCGTTTGAGCGTTTTCGCCATTTTTTCTTTTTCAAGTTTCTCTCTGAAGAAATCGCACCTTTTATTGCCTCAACTTGCTTTTAACTTCCTTTAACTTCCCCGTTCATAAAGAGATGGATATTGGCATTCGAAGCTTCAAGTATTTCAAAGTCATGAATTAGCGAATTCTTTGCAATTGCCGCAAAATGTGCCGAAAAGTTTTATTACAAAAATGAAATATATCGAAAAAAAATTGGCTATATAACAAAATATAGAAAATTACAAAAATATATAAAAAATGTATAAAAAATATACAAAAAATTGCTCAGAACAACGCAACAAAACTGATTAAAAGTTATTCTTATTGAAAAATATTTTTAATTCATAATTTCCTTATAAACGCAAGTAGGAAAATTATAGCTTATATATAAATATAGGCCAGCTATTAGATATCCTACACCACTTCGCTTACTGAAACTCTTCATTTATTTTCGTGATAAAATGCGAACAATTACATCTTGGTTCCAGATTAGAGTATACTTTCAAAAGGAGTTGTCATATGGAAGAGAAATCTGGGGCCAAATCTTTAGTGGGTGGCTTACATAGCTCAAATCAAGCAGAGCTAATTTCTGTGGCAAATTGCTTTCGTAGACGTATTTCACTTCATTCTCATTGATTTCTGTATAAACTGCATAATCATCAATTCCTACCAGCAATAAAATATACATTATAAGTTGAAGAATTATCCAAGGATGTCAGACTTAGTGGTAAGGCATTTCAATATCTAGCAACACGAACAGTAAAAGGTCGCTCGGCTGATGAGTTATACAAACATGGCATAAATATGGAAGAGATTGAATGCTTTTGTAGAGGCAGACAAGCAACCGGAATTTTAGATAATCGAGAAAGGAAAATTTAAAGAAAGCATGAACTAAAGAGAAGATATGATGTTTAAATGTGATGCTCTAAACAAAATGTGTTATACGGATAACAATACAATATGTTATGCCTTGTGCATCCAAAAATGACTTCAATACAATAGTTAACATGGGTCATGAGAAAGGAATGCGCAATGCTTTGTTTAACCTGTGGAGGCAGATACAGATGTAGATTGTACAGTTTTCAGAGCGTAAGACAAACTTTAGCAGAGATATTCTCCAAGTTGGGTTTGCGATCAAGGCATTTCGTTGAATCTACAAGACCAATGAATTCTCAGCAATTTTTGTATTGAAGTTGAATGGCCCAGCAGGGGGAACATTGAAGAATAAGGCTTTATTCTTACTGAAGTTAATGCAAACCATATTATGTATTATCTAGGAGTTAACAATTGCTAAAGACTATTTAATATTCTTTTCGAGCGAATAGAAATGATCTGCATTACCTCTATAAAGCGAAAAGATATTACCTGCATACGCCAAAAAAGGGCAGTCGTTACCGACCAAATCTCCAAGATAATTTAATTTAATTAACCAATAGCTGGTCCAAAATGGAACTTTGTGGTACCTCAGACATTGTTGCAATTAGGGAAGAGTTAAAGACATTCACAGAAAAAACTGTTTACTATCCGAAATATACGACCATATAAGCGTACAGGCACTTCGAGAGAAGTTGAATTTATCATACGATTAGTTAATATGTTTGAGAGGAAGCAGTTCTTCTTTACTGCCTATGTACGCCTATTCGCTGCCTGGACAATATTGAATATATATATATATATATATATATATTATATATATTGAATATATATATGTATATATTTATAATGCACATATGCTTGTATATATTCTTATTGTATACATTCCTGCACAAATTCACATCGTAGTTACGTTGAAATACAGCCCTGCATGGTCGCATCGCGTCGTATTTACACTTACATCCTTTGAAATTTATACAGCATTCTTTTGGCTTTACTCGCTACTCCGCACAAAAGCACATACACACCTGGCACGGAGGCACACCCCTAACCGGTACAGATCCAAATTGGAAGTGAACCTCTAAGCCCTTGCATGTATGCGAAAGCTAGGCAACCAATAACAGTAAACACAAGCAGTTAATTTTCGAATCATAATGAGATGTTAAGATTGCAAGTTAATTTAAACGCGACATAGGCAAACTGCGCGTATTAAGCATAGTTGTTTTGATGGACTTTAAAGAACCCAATATTGAGTCATAGACGTCATGGGGGAATAAACAGCACGTTATTCACATTGACTAAGCTTAATGAAGAAAAAGTGCCTAGAGCAGAATGTGGGCGAAAAAATAGTACCGTCTATTAACTTAATTTAGAAGGAGATAACAAGAATAAATCTAAGTTTTTCAAGTGACGTTAAATAAAACAGAAGCAACGTTTCATAGGGTCTACCTTATGAAAATACTCAAATATTAAAAATCGTAAGGCAAAATTCCTAAACAGCAAGAATTACTTTTGAATGGATTCAATTGAATCTACATAACACCTATAGGAAGGAAACCGTATTCAAGTATTGGTCTAACTAAGCACATGTATAGTCGTTTTGTAGGAAATTAAAACGTAAACCTTGGTCGAATAGAACCCCTAAATTAATAAACGAATCTACGTTTTCCAACTTGTGTGAATTAGTGAAATATTTAGTATATCCTTGAGAAAGAAAGCTTTTGTATTTTTTATACCCTAAATCATTTGTTACACAAGATATATTAAGTTAGTGCAAAGGTACGTAACACGCAGAAGGGCTTAAGATGAACCCATCTTTTATTATACCGATCGATTCAGCATCATAATCTGATTGAAGCTTGATTGTCCGTCTGTCCATCTGTTGTCTGTCCATGCAAACTTGTGGGTCACAATTTGTGAGATGTTTTAGTGAAATTTGGTACAGTCACGCGTTTTGACCCAAAGATGAACTTTGTTGAAAATGGTTGCGATTGGTCTACTCTTTCGTCTACTCCCCATAAAACGATCTATTCTGAAAAGTCGTTAAATAAAAAAAATTGCAATTTTCAAAATTTCTCGACAAAAGTGGCAAAGTAGTAGTTGTATTAGGCATTCTAAATGATTTTGGACCAGGTGGGGCAATTTTCGAAGCGCTCTCGTATAACGAAAACTGAAGTTCATACAACAAAAAAATATAATTTTCAATGCTGCATGATGAAAATTATATCATAATAGCAACTTAACATAAAAAAATTAACTGTACCAAATTGGGATCATCTCGATCTATTTTTTGGATCCTGCCCTATTAATGATTTTCACGAAAATTGATCCTTGGCAGAGCAGAAAAGCCTAAGTTTTAATGATGATGGGAATTGGCCCATAATAGTAATGCCATGCAAAAAAGAACTCTGCGAAATTTGAACCATCTACGCCAATTTTTGATCCTACCCTACCCAGGGATTAACCTTGTACTACATTAGATTTCGTTTTGGGTCCGTTCTCTCATAAATGCGCACATGAAAAATATGCCTTGATGTAGAACCAAGAAATAATTTTTGTCTTCTATAATAAAAATAGGGATTGTGTTATATAATGCGTTGTAGGGTACTTAAAAGTCGGACTTGCCCGACTAGAACGTTCTCATTCCTTAAAGTTAACGACTTTGTAACCAATTATTTAAGTGAATTTGAGGTTGATACGACTGCGATTTCAAGAAGAACATTACAGGGAACTCAAACCGTTGAGATTTTTAGGAGCTCACTCTTTAACACCATTCGCTTCGTCTACATTTTGCGAGTTGACGACCGTCATAAACGGAAGTGTTGTTGCAACCAGATTCCCGACAACTCGCAGCATAGCTTTAATATTTGCACTACGATTTGTGCGTTTGCGTTGTTATAACCAAAAAAAAGTAGCCCTCCAAGTGCCTTACCAGTCATGTCAGTACTTACGCCGCTGTGTAGCTCCATTAGTCTGCTTATTAAACCATTTGGAGGCCTTTTACCATATTTACAAGCGATTTTTGGCGTTTCAAAGGGGTGCTGCTATTTTGCTTTAAGTACTTCTACAACGTTAGAAGTACTAACCGTGTATGTATTTTTGGTCGAATTTTGTGGTTTTTGATTATTAAATAATTTTATAACAGTGCAATTATTTCTTCGGCATCGCATTTTTTTTTTTCGGCTGTCCATAAATGGTACCACTGTCCGTCATGTTCGAAGTTGCACCTCAAAGAGCTAGAGCGACATTCTTGTTGTCGTTCCACCTTATTTAATAGTTGACATATGGTGAGGCGACAGGATTTTTTGAAATATAGCCCTTTGGCGGTATCTGCCTGATCTACGGAACCCACCTGTTTCTATCAGCGCATCATTCTATTGTAATCTATGGGTGATAAGCCATCTACGAACGGAATATATATCGCATTTTATCCGTTTGGTATACTTCATAGCAATTATTTCCCTCGGCTTATTGGCAGGAACCAGCGAGCAGGACACTGTGTACTATTTAATTCATCATAATATTATTCTTCATTCAGGCATTATTAAATCGGCGAGCGAGATACAACTGGTATTATTTAACGGCATATTGATGTGGTTTACTTATAATGTCTTCAAGAGGGACCATGCATTTTTTCGGACTTATTTCTATCAATCCCTTTACATAACATGCTGGACTTTGTTTATTATCAGGAAATTTCAATGGAATTTTTGAAGTTACAGTCATTATGTTATGATGCCGGCGGATAGAACATTCAAAGTCGTCACTTTTACTTAACCTAACCTCCATGATATTCCGTTAGAATTGTAACATTAAATTTTGAATTTTAAAAGTCTCATAATTGTGTTTAACTAAAACTGAAAACTAAACGCTTATGAACGCTTTCGAAGCAAAAGCTTGAGATCACGATAAAGTTAATCAACTTGTAAAATATGAATTGTGTCAAAATGGTCAGAGATTGAATTCATGGAAATAAAGAAATTTTTATTGAATCGAAATTGGAAATTACGATGGGGTGTAATCAGTTCTAGGAAAAAATGTTAAGAGGACAAGGTAAGTTGTCGCAATTGAAATTAGTTTTCTTTTTTTACATATGTTGTGAGAATACTGTGTAGGGAAGGAAGGAAGAGTGGGAGGAGGAGGAGAGAGAGAGAAAAGAAGAAACTACACATCTACTCTGTTAAATTTTAATTCCATTTACTTCTTTCACGTTTTGTGATCTAAGCAGAATGTTGAAGGCCATTCTGTACATTCTTCACATAGCGATACATTGTCTACTGTAAATGAAAAAAAAGCTGTCGGTGATCAAATTTCTATTCCCTCCATTTTATTCTAATAAAACTTCTACAATGTCTATACTAATAATAAAAACTAATAAGAAATAACCGCATCCTACGGCATGCTACAGTAACTTATCCTGCTGTGTAGTACAACGTTGACATTGATGTAATAAAATGAATAGCGATGATACGATATCCGGCTCAGCCAAATATAAATTTCTTGTTTTCATATTTAAGGAAAAACCAAATAATATTTCATTTGCATTATATTTTCATCCATATGTATTAATCGTAATTGAAAAATGAAATGATTTTCACTTTCTAAATTTTCATAAATGCTAAAAAAGGTTTTCCATTCTCTTGTACACAAAGCTTTGCATACAAAGCTTTTGATGTTGTATGGTAGGTACAGAAATTCTTGGACAACTATCCAGGCACTGGTATTTTTATTAAAAATGAGCTTTTTTTATGAGTCAGTGTTTGAGCAAGCTCTAGCGGATTTCTCGAGCTAAACAAAGCAATACTTCTCTACTGTACTTCTCACATTACATTCCAGAGGTCTTCAGGTGCAGGTACTTGAAGATGTAAATAAAATTATATGTCTATTGCCATTTGCTATCCATTTTTAAACAGATAGAGAGCATACACTTAAAAGTGTTAAATGGTTTGGAAAGCAAGTAACTGTATATGTTTATGTCTATTTCGCATTTTCTCACTTTATATAAGAAACTCATATACTATGTGTGTGCACTCGAAAAAGGGGTACCGTTTCGAAATGTTCTTTACTTCAAGTGGACTGTGTGAAAATCAAAATCTCTTTATGTAAAGATACCAGATATTTAATAATTCTAGTCTACATTACTTGTGGTTGTATTTAATCATTTTTTGAATCGGATTAAGCCTGTCTGTCCGTCTTGTCTTCTTGTGCTGAATTTTTTAGGTAGGAAACTTCGTACTGTAACTTGTTTTGGCCCAAGGACGAACGCAATTGAAAATGGATTACTTTTTCGACCCGTTCCCTTGTAACATCTCATTTTGGAAGTCGATACGCGAATATTTGTAGGCTGATGGAGAGTGTTTAATAGTAGGCCGTGGCCCACTATTGTTTTCTGTCGTTTCATTGTTATTTTTTATTGTTTTTATATATATGTATGTATATTTTACTTACGATCTATGAATAAAGGTAATAAGTAAATGTTATGGCAATGTGTAGTAAATAACAGGGGCGCTTGTCCTCCGATCGGAGCAGAGTAATAATATTAGTACGATGCTTACATAAGAAATTAATAGTAGCCATACAAATTCATTCATTCATGCAAAATTATTTAATATCTAAACGGTCCACTCAGAGCTTGTTCAATTTTCCGAATTCATTCGGTGTTCTCTGTTGCCTTCATTGACCTTGTGTGAGAAATTGTTGATTTGTTCTTTGCTTATTTCAGTGAGTCGTGAAACCGGTTTCTTCACAACACTCTTAAAATTTATTTCATCGGAATGATTATTAGTTGCTATGGTTCTTCTTAATCTTCTTTTATCCCTGTTCAGTGGCGCTCTTTCAAGACTATCACGGTTAGTCTGACGTCTAGACCAGAATAACTTTTCAATTCCAATATCAGTTGAGCTTTGCAATCTCTAATTATATAACAAATGTTCATTGATCTTGTCTGTGAAGGCCTCAATATGTTTTTACCAGTTAACAACATTAATTTTTAGAGAGAGAAGGCACAGCATCGCGTCGATGCGGATCAGCGGATTGTGATCAGAGCTTAGAGCGTCGTGGTCATAAACATTGTGTATAGTGGTAGTAGCTATATCGGAAAGCGCAACGAAATTTCTTTCGACTTAATTTTATTCATTAATAGCAATTTTTACATTTATTATAAAGTAATAAAAAATTTCATATTTACAAACAATTATGATTTTCGATTTCTTATTTATGAATTCCTGTTTCTTAAGTGCAACAATAGGCGATCAATATATAAAGCACCGACATCAATCCAAAGCTAAGTGAGGGATAATTTGAACCGCTGGCTACCATGATGTTTGCGCTTTCAGCTATGAAAGCCATTGGGCGAGATGCAGCGGGAATTTTCATAATATGAGGTGGATCACCAGGATTTAAAGGTGCCAAGGCTACTGAACCCTCAGGAACAGTAAACGACGTGCTTTGTAGAGGAGCCAAGGGTACATTCTGTTCCAAAGCAGTAGCAGATTGAGTTACTAGCTCCTCAGCGCCGGATGATGAAGTAGCTGATGAAGTGGATGATGAAGTGGATGAAGAAGTGGATGATAAGTTATCAGCAGCGGTTGATGCTGCGCTAGAGAAAATTTCTCTTACTGTTGTCGTCTCTTCGGGTGGTGGAGCTGGGTAACATACAATTTTTTCTACTTCGATTGTTTTACTGCTATCGTTTGGATCCGGCTCGGGTACTTTAATAGGTACACAGATAATACCTCCAGTCGGCGGCTGTTCAGCTGGAGCTGCTGGAGTTTCCATAGGATTCTGGGAAACGGTAGGGTTTGTTGAAATAGGACCGTTTCTCGCAACTTCACTACCTGCCATTTCTGCGCCAGTCGCACTAGCAGCGTTCGAGGTTTCCGCGTGTGTTGGGTTTAAAGGAGCCAAAGCCGCGCTGGCTATTTCTGCCGGCGGAGCACTAGTGATCGGTGGGGAGGCAGCTGGCTGTGATGGAGCCTCTGCAGCTGGGAGTTGAGAAGCACCTGTATTGATGACTGTAGTGCCTGGACCGGCATTTGTAGTCGTTACCGAACCTGGTGGACCGTTATTGATGATTATAATTCTATCTTCGCCGTTATTATTGCCGCCACTACCACCGCTACCATAACCACCACTCATCATTGGTGTGTGCTCTACTACTCTGGTGTGTGTGGGTGTTAACGCGTGACCGAGAAGACCACCAGCTAAACCACCAGCCAGCAAACCAGATCCTGAAAGTACATGTAAATTATAACTTTTTTTTTGTATTTTTTCGCTTAACTTACCAAAACCTAGACCGGATGAGGATTTGGGAGGCTGAGATACAAATGTGGCTCCTGCCGGCAACGATGATCCACTTGGCAAGAAAGTTGCTCCCGCTGGTAAGGCGGCCGGTGCTGGGTAATATGCTGGGGCGGGAGCCGCAGGATAATATGTTGCACCCGGCGGCATAGCTCCAGGAGCGTGATATGTGGCACCGGCGGGTAATCCCCCTGACGGATGATATGTAGCTCCTGGTGGTAAAGATCCGGGCGCATGATAAGTTGCCCCTACTGGCAAAGACCCCGCCGGATGATAAGTGGCCCCTGGTGGCAGAGAGCCCGCCGGATGATAGGTAGCACCTGGTGGCAAGGATGCCGGAGAGTGGTAAGTGGCTCCAGCGGGTAAGCCTGAGGCAGATGGATAGTAGTTAGCATTCGTGGGCATTTGTTGTCTTGGGTAACTCGATTGCACATTATGAGCATTCGTTGCCGTAATGGGCGTATGAACGCCACTTCCAAAGCCACCTCCTGTTGAGTTAAAACGATTACGATTGTAATTAGGGCTAGATTGTTGACTATTATAATGAGTAGCTGTCGCTGGTGGTTGACGATTCGTTGCCTGCGAATAGCTTGGCGGAGCAGCATTATTCGGCTTATAACTTGGTGCGGGTTCATGTATATTCGTCTTGGCTCCGCCTATTGGATTTGTGGGTGAATAAGCCGGTGGTGGACCTTGTGACTTTGGTGGTACATTCCAACCTATAGGCGAAACTGTTGGACGAGCTGCATGATTTTGCGTATTTCGCGTAGCGGTTAATGTGTTTGTGCTACTGGGACGTTTGGGTTGCGCATTATAACCGGAGTAACTTAAGGAAGTCAAACCGGAATGCGAAAGTGAGGGATTCGAATGCGAATAACTGCTACCGCCATTATTAGGCTTATTGTATGACGTACGCCTAACGTTCGAATAAGATGAACTTGATGAACGTCGACTACCTCCGCTACTATAAATGCGTTTAGCTTCCACAGTAGACGCTAGCACAGCCGCTACAAGGAAAAAACACGATAGTTTAAAACAGAGACTTGGTGTCATCTCTAGCTACGTCGTATCTGCAATGAAATAAAACAATCGTTAACATGTTGATCGACTAGGCATCCACTTGTTTTCGTTTAAGTGCAAATTTGTAATAATTTAGTCTTTCCGGTATACAATTGGAATGATTGTGCCATCAAGAGCAAAACAACTATCTGCTATATAGATATATAAAATAAGTAGAACTAACAACTCTTAGGTATCATCATAAATGTGATAAGTACTTAAACGCAGATCATGATACAGTAAATTTAACCAACACTTTTATTTTCTCAGAGTTTATAAGCCTGTAACCTTTCTGTTTGCCTGTATGTTGAGTTGAAAGTGAATTAAATCGTTTTGCGTATAAAATAAATTCTTATTTATTCACTACGTTGTGATTAATTTATAACATAAGTGTTTGCTTACAATTTGTTCGAAGGTAAGTAAATAAGTCAAAATTTATGACTTCTTAGGGATTCGTTGAAAAACGCGACCTTGTTAGGAGAACCTTCTTCTTAAAGAATAATACAATTTTGATGCCGCTTCGAATGGTTCTCTTGAAATTATTTGTTATCTCAAATTTTACTTTCAAAAACGTGCTAGAATAGAAGCAGAAGTAAGTACTTAGTGCAAGCCCATAAGATCAAGACCGTGTACATGAAGTATTAAGAGTTTTGCTAATTGGGGATGCGTCTGTCAAACGGGAGTAGTGCAGGTTTACGATAACAGGACAAAGCAAAAGAGGTATTAAATGTTTTATTAATTGGAACCGCCTCTGTTAAACAGAGGCGCGTCTCGTTTTGTTTCAATTTTTGTTTTCGCAACCATTGCCGAGAAGGACGAAAGAGCAGAGAAACGCACTAAATTGACTTAGAATCTTACGCTGATCGAAAATATATATAAGCTTGATACGTATTTCTGGCTGTTACGAACCCCATACCTGTCGTATCTTTATATATGCATTTCGTGTGTATTAATGTCTAATGAGCTCCACCTTCGTGGTTAGCTTTAATATTTTTCAGATTAATAGTGTTTTCTTTAATATTCGTTACAAAAGTCCACTGTGGCTTTATTGTAGGCTGTTAATTACTTTTACCTTTTTTCTAAATCAAATCTTATTTTCGAGTTTTTCTAAACTTTGCATTTCCATTTTGTACTATATGCTTATTAGAAGAAGTACATCTTTGCAATTAGTTATTTATTATTTATTATTATAAATAATTCCAAAAACCTAAAGTAGAAAGAAAGAACGAAAGAACTAAAAATGCGTTCTGAGGAAACGCTAACGTATCTATAGCCAAAGTCATTTAAGTTGTTTTTTTCATTTTCAATTTCAAGCCAATTAATTAAGATGATGACTATCCACTTGCGGTATATAATATTCCATATGCACATACCATGAGTTATATACAGTTTTTAATAAACAAAGTTGAGTTAAAAAGAGATGGAAAAATAATATTGAAAAGAGAAGAGAATCTTGATAATACTGTTGATAATTTATTGACCTATGATGTCAATTTCAAGAATAATGAATTAAATTTTTATTCCAACTTATTTACTAAGATTTTTTTAAAATATTATACATGCGCATACATACAAGCATACTAAGAAAGAAATAAAATTGTGCTGTTTCTTGACTAAAATTCAAACATATTTTTTTCATATTTTAAATAAACTCTGTTAGATCACATAATTGTGGGTTATGCCATAATCGTAGAGCTTCTGCTATTTCTGGAAGCCAGAAGCGTTAAATAAGCAAATTACTTATAGGCTGCCCCGTTTTCAACGTGCTCTACTGTAGTTTTTATAGATTACTATTATTAAAGTCGTAAGTTTCCGCTTCACTTATTATACACACTATATATATATACGTAATTCCGCTGAATTCTCAGCAATCAATTTGTTTTGTCCCTATCTTCTAATCATGATCGCGTTAACTTTTGTTCAATGCCTTTCCTTGCAGTATTACCGTCCGATGGCTGCTTGGGGATATACTTAACCCTGTAGCTTTCGAAATCTACACCTTTTTTTTGTTAATTCGCTAATAATTAATTAAATGCTATATATATGTCTCATTAGAAAAGCATAGTTATATATAATTTTTGCAGCTTGAAAACCAGATTCTTTTAATTTATGTTAATTTGCGATGCACTGTTCTCTATAAAACTTTTGCTTGTACCTTGAGTTGCAGCGAACAGTAGATTTCCCGTATTTTTACTATGGAACACTATTCTAAGGGATTTTTTATTTTGTTTTCATTAATCGTAATTTTATATTTCTATATAAGTTTTACAAAAAAAAAAAATATATGGAAAACCAGTCTTTTTATAAATAAACACAATTACAAAGGAATAAATATAACACACAACTGTTGGAAGTGGCGGTAAGTGTTGTTATTGTTATGGCCTCGAAATCGTTTTTGCTTTACAGTATTTATGTATTTAAATGTTTAATGCAAATTCATTAACTTATATAAAATATATAATAAATTTTTGAGCTACATAAGCCTCTTCGAAAGAGTTCCAAATCTAATTATTTTCTTACATTTTATTGTTCTTTTTTATGTTTACGTTCTTCCTTGGCAATTTTCTGATTTAATATTTCGTTTAAATATTCTAATGAATTAATTTTTCTCATAAAACTTTTTGCTTTCCACTGATTTTTTTTTAAATGTTTATATTCCGTCCGTGCATGTTATACGTCAAGCATATCGCTGAAAACTGAGTTTGACTCAGGTTTAGGTAAAGGCTTAGCTTTACATATTTTTTTTTTTTACATTTAAATTGATTGGTTTGCTTTGTTTTTATTTTATGTTTTCTCTCCTTCTCACATACTTAAATAAGAGTCTATGAGATAATTTTTTATTATTTACTACTGTTTTTGTTTGTGCTCAGTATCGAACGTTGGTATACTAGATTTGTCATGCTACAGATATTAAAACGCTGAAACCCGCCTTGACCTTAGATTAGATGAATGCAGTGTATTAGAAAAGCATCATGACCCGTTACAAACGCGTCAACTGAAAAAGATATACTAAAAAATTAAAACGTCCTAATGCAAAGAAAAAACCCATTTCTTAAGCTAGCGAACTCAAAAGTTCTAAAACGAGTTCATGTCCGCTTAAGAAGATGGGTATCCAAAACTCGTCACAATTTTAATAATCTTCGCTTTTTTGTTTTGAATAATTGATTTTATTACATGTTATTCCGTTTTTTACGTTTTACTTAATTATTGTAAACATGGATTTAAATGTGATTTTCGAGATCGAATCTATTCGTTTTGGATCTTCAGTTCCGACTATGTAAGGCATCAATATTCGTTTATTTGAATTGAAGTGAAAACAAATTAATTTGCAGTCATAAGTTAATTTTTCAAACGGTGTCTAAAAAATTGTAATCACCTGAGTAATCTTATATATGCCAGAAGAAAGAAAGGTGCGGAGTAGAGGAAACTTGCTTTGCTCTTACATGAGGTACAGTGACATGAAAATTGGAAACTTCTGCCTTAAGGCAATAAAGTTATTTGCTTCCGTTTCCACACTTTACGCGTATCGGAGGAGGAATGTGATATGATTCACAGATGGTCATTAAATTGTATTATCGAGTTGCGATTGTACTCATGGCAAGTAAAAACAATTCTAAGAATTTTCGCAATAATCGCAATTATTTTCTCCCATTATTTTTAAAAGAAGAGCATAAATATGTCAAGAGAAGAAGGAAATTTTATTTGAGTTCATTCAAAACCGCTTATACTCTCCATTAGCCCATGCATTTAATTGCAAAATAAAAGTATATAAACGAATATGTTCGACTCTTTTTATACCATGCACCGTTATTAGAAGTATACAAAGGCCAAAAGAACTTGGGATAGGCCAATCTTTTATTATACCGATCGATTCAGAAAGTGATTCTAAGCTTGTCTATCCATCTGTCCTGTGTTACAAAAGTGCATTAAGTATTTTGCGAATTTATAAAACGGTCAGAAGGACTTGGGTAGACCAAACTTTTATTAAACCGACCTACTCAAAAACTGATTCTAAGCTTGCCTGTCCCTGTTTCCTACGTTAGAAGGGTACATTAAGTTTATGCGAATATATACAACAGCCATAAGCAATTGAGATAGACCAATCTTTTACTATACCTATTGATCAAAAATCACTTCAGAATCGAGCTAAGCTTATCGTTTTGTGTGTCCGTTTTGATTTCTCGTCTTCAACGTACAGACCATAAGTTTCGAGATCGTTTGATCCATCGACATGTTTCGGCTCAAAGACTAACGTTACTGAAAATAATTCGAATCGGATCACTTTTCTGCTTTATACAACTGCAAGGTGGCGCAGGGTTGTTTTTTTGCTTTTTTTCAATTTTAGAAAAGAAATAGAATGAACCTATTAGTAGATGTATAATATTTTGGATCAAGCAGAAAATTTATTCTATATTATATATTTTTATTATTATTATTATTATTATTATTATTATTATTCTTATTATAAATTTAGCCAGAGAATGAATTCTAAGACTAAAGTCTTAAAGCCCTAGCATCTAAGGCTCTCGGCTTTATTAAAAACTCTAAGGCACTTGAGATTTGAACCCACGCGACCATTGAGTTGAAAGTCGAGATTTTTGCCTACTCGGCCACCCAGGCGAATCTATATTATGTAAAAACATAACAATGTATAATATAACGAGTGTATGTAGAATGTGTGATATAATGCAACTGATCGATACTCTATGTGACTTACTTCGTATTACGTGATTTGTTATGCCTCCAATCGTCTTCTTATTATCAATAAGATCGTCCTTGTTTTGGCGGAGGTTCGCATTCACCTTCCCTACTTAATGCAATTTTAAAAGTGTTTAAATTTGTGTGTACGTAAGCAAAATTCACAAGAACTTGGCTTAGATCTTAGAACGTTTATTATAGCAATTGATTTAAGGATATCTGAGTCAATTTAAGCACACTTACCCATACATTTTTATAATTACGTCCAATATATAATAGATTTCCTTCTTGAAAATGTTGTGAGGAAAATCGTGTGCAAAGCGTTATGTAAACGTTTAAGTTCAAATTACTATTAAGAACATGTTAAAAAACTGTTCCGAAATATATAGTGCAAGCATACGTCGCACATACACACACACACACACACACACACACACACACAACTGTAGAGAGGATAATTTTCTTAACGAAAGAAAAACAATTTAGTTTAGCTTGAACGTCTGCTTAAATGTTTAATTAAATGAAAGGCCAAGAGATGCGATACTCCAAGATGGTGCCTCATTTTTTGAATCTTTGGAAAACATCGATAAACTACGGTCAAGCAATACATATGTAAATGTGCAATAATTCCCTTGATAAGCTAGAATGAATGGATGAAATTTTTACGCTTACTTATAACATGGGTCCAGCAATGTGAGTTAGAACATGTCACTAATAAAAAATTTGCACACTTATAAAAAAGGATTATTTTACACGATTTAGAGCGGAAAGTTGCAGCAAACTTAATTTTCTTTCTGAAAATGCAATATTATTAATTTCTGTTTCCGTCATAAAAGACCCCAAAGTAGCCTTTGTCGCCAAGCTTGCTCTTCATTAGATCCCGAACATATGGCGGAGTTCAAAAATTCGCGTTGTATGTTCCAAACCCGCTACGCTTAATTTTTATATTAAATCTAACTAAATCTAATAATAATTAATTAAATGGCGAAGTTTAAAAGTTCGTGTTGTATGATCCAAACTCGTACGCTTAATTTTTATATTAGTTTGGGGAAAAAGGAATCCATTATTTTTATATGAACTTCAGGACTTTATTTAACATGCTTCGGATTGTCCGATTTGGGTCAAATATGCACCGTTTTGTTGTATGATTTGTTGCCATGTTAAAGGTAACTTCAAAATGCCTCTCTCATAGAAGTCCTGGTTTCTATTTGCAAAAAACTCTAGTAGTCGTTTTTCACAATCCTCCCTAGATTCCAATTTTTTATCATTAAAGAAATTTTGCAATGCAAGAAAAAGATGATAATCGCTTGGTGCCAAGTCCGGACTGTATGGCGGATGCATTAAAACTTCCCAACTAGGCTCCCGAAGTTTCTGGCGAGTCACTGTAGATGTGTGTGGCCTAGCGGTGTTCTGGTGGAACACGACACCTCTCCTGTTGGCCAATTCTGGCCGTTTCTGGTCAATCGCTATCTTCAAACTGTCCAGTTGTTGACAGTAGAGATCAAAATTTAGCTTTTGGCCATGTGGAAGCAACTCATAATAAATAATCCTCTACCAGTCCCACCAAATGCATAGCAAATCCTTCCTGGCCGTTTGGGGTGCTTCACCGCTCTTTGACAACGATCGTTTTCGCACAGGGTTATCGCATGTGATCCATTTCTCATCTCCAGTCACCATCCGTTTAAGAAATGGGTCTATCTCATTCCGTTTGGCCAAGGCTTCGCAGATGGAAATTCGATCCACCATGTTTTTTTCTGTTAATTGGTGTGGCACCCACACATCGAGCTTCTTTTTGAATCCAGCTTTGTGTAAATGGTTTAAAACTGTTTTATGGTCGATTTTTAGCTCCTGGGCGATGTTTCGACTGCTAACATGCCGGTCAACTTCGATCATTTCTCCGATTTTATCGACATTTTCGACGACCGGCCTACCTGTGCGAGGTGCATCTTTAACATCAAAAATTCCTGAACGGAATCTACGAAACCAAAATTGCACATAATTGGCTGTTATAGTATCGGAACCATAAACACCGTTCACAATTTTAGCCGCCTGGCTTGCATTTTCGCCTTTGTCAAAGAAAAACTGTAAAATGTACCGAATTTTCTCTTTGTTCACTTCCATTTTTAACACGCTGTAACTCACAACTGAATGCACCAAACAAAAAACAGCAAAAGAATTTTTTTTATTGCGAAATGTCACCTTTCCAACGAGCATAAATCTGAAATTGTTTGATCGATAGTTTACGAGAAATCTATCAGTGCAGCCATCTACCGAAAAAATAATGGATTTCTTTTTCCCCAAGCTAATATTAAATCTTCTTTTTTTGCCATATGAAGTTTTACTTTTCGTAGAAACCAAGTTCAATTCAAGATTTTCACATAAGTTTAAAATGGCAACATACTACCAGTTAACCGTTTTGGTCGGGTTTGAAAATTGCATTTTTTTTATAACCTTGAAGTTGAACGCAACAACACATGTGCAGAGATTAGATGGACAGACGGACAGACTTGCTCAAACGAATCCAGCAAATGGCTGTGAAGGCAATCACCCTCTGTAGATTGAGTTAAAATTTCGTACGTGTCCCTCTACTCCTTCTTGTGTAATAACATTTATTTTTGTTTCTATCAGTAATACTCTCTCAGCTGGTTAGATTAAAGGTAGCCTTTAATCACCAAACTTTCCTACAAACCTCAGTTATCAGACTGACACGTGTACATACATGATCTTGACGCTGTCAATGTGTCGTTATGAAAATCGCATGTTTTTGATAAAACAAATCTATCTAAGAAATGTCTAATTCCGTTAAAAAGGAAATTTCCCAAAATATTGAGAAAGTAATAAAAGCAAGTGGAAATTTTGGATGCGATCGGTTAATGCAGGTGCCATAAAATAGATGGTTAATAAAATGCACCCGCTAAAGATTAAATTCAGCAAGTAAGAGAATTTACAAAAATTCGCAAAGAAACCCAGCGGGTAAAAGAACGAACAAAAACATCACGGCAAAAAATGGCAATCGTTAACTATTCTGCAGCTTTGTCAGCTTTGTTCAAGTGAAGTCAGTTGGCTCGTGGCCTTCAAGGAAAGATCGATTAAATGTGTTCGTAAGCCAACGTTGTACTTCTAAAGACTTTAAGTTTGTAAAGTGAAATCGTTGTGACGTTTTGTTAAGAAGACAAATCTTTCCGACTCGCTCGCTGTCCTTCGTCGATAATATTATTAAAAAATGGAAGGTCGATAAAGAGAACTTAAAAATTTGACTCATAAAGCAATGTGAGTTATTTTGTTTAATACTTTACACTCAAAGCTTTGTACAAAAGCCGGCTTACGTCTTCTCGTGGAAGCCGAATTTTCTTTAGTCCGGCGTATTAGGTTTTCGCCAAATATTTAAATAAACACTGCCTTAGCATGTACGAGTTCTTTATATTTCATCGCATTATCTCGTTGGAGCGTGTTTGGGTTGATTAACGTCATTAAAATTAGCTTGAGGGCAGAACCCTAATTAATCCCAAAATATTAAATTGTCGGGAGTGGTATAAGCGTGTATCTTATAAGAATTCATTATATAATTAATGTAAGTAAAAGAATAATGATTTATGTTTCCAACTCTGAGTACATTTTTGGGAAACAACACTTGAGAGAGGGCACACCACAATAAGAAGTTCAAAATCCTTGCTAGCTACTCCATCTTCGTTTGAGAAAATTGTAGATGCTCAATGCATTTTTTGTTGCATATGAATATAATTTATTATTAATTATAATTTTTTTCCTTCATAAATAAGGCATGAAGGATATGAATAACATAACGTATGAGTGGTTTATGAATAAATTAAAAATATATGAAAAATTTTAATTTTCTTTTTCTTCCTTTCATACGCTTTTACCTCGGCGTGGTTAGTTTATGAACACTGTAATACATATATGAGTACTTTATTGTGCAGGCATGCATATGCGTTAAGTGACAGAGCAAATATGTAAAAAAAAATTTTTACTTTTCTCCTTTTTTTTTTTTTTTTTTGAAAAGAAGGCTATAAATATGTAAAATATTAAATATTTCCTAAATAATTTTAAAATTGTGTTTCTTATTAAAAAGAAAAACTTAATTAATTTTTTCAATAAGTGTTTCGTCATTGTTTCTCTGTTTATTCGATGACGGGAATAGCAAATTAGGTAATTTCACATTAGTTAGTCTTCATATACTAACCTAGCAATTTTTTTTTTTTTTTTATATTTATACCTACCTGCTTAGGGTAAGTTATGTTAGTGTTCTCGTTCTATTTCGAATAAGTTAACCTTATGAACATTTTAAGTGGAAGAATTTACCATTAACTACCATACAACACCTTACAGTTACAACAGATTACAATGTTTCAAAATAAGACATTATATGGGAAGTAAAAGTCCAAACCATTTCCAAGAGCGTTCGTCTTTGGGCCAAAGCACATAAATATACCAAATTTCATGATAACATCTGAAAAATTGCTGCCTGTAGTTTGAACACAAAATGCATGGGCAGTCATCAAACAGACAGACGGACAGATAAACTTTAATGATATAATGAAACATGGGTTTTGCAACCCCTTGTGTCGCAAGTGGGGCAGTGTATAAAAGCTGTTTAACTATTCGTACGACCGTCTCCGGCATCAAGAAATGACACCGCCTTTTGAAGTTGAGTACATATGGTCTCTAAGAACGATCAAGTTTCAAAATGAGCGGATCAAATAATAAATTAGAAAAAATTTAAAAATACCAAAGTTAGTAAATTTTCTCGTTATTAAATTACAAGCAATAGAACATATCTATCTGAAACTATATATAGTAGACAAACATAAGAGGTTCAGAGTGAATTTAGTATTATTACAGGAAAAATATAAAAATCGCTATTGTTTAGATAATCAGAATTTTGAATTCTTAATTCTCTCCAAGGATAATAATATGGTTTTCTTAATGTATTATATAAATTATTGCATTTCTTTTTCCTTTTTGTTCCTACTCTTCTATATCTCCAGCTATTTGAATGGGTGTTGAAGATGTTGTCACTCCAAGTAAACGCATTAAGTGATATGAACTGAAGTCATTTTTATTAACATCAATTGGTGGAGGTGGTGGGGCAGGGTAGCATATTAATATTTCCAATTCCTGGAGCTCTTGAGATTTTGTATTATTTTTCTCCGTTATCGTTAAAGGCAGGCATATAACACCCCAGGGCGCTGGAGGGTTATTTGGTCGATTAGGAATGGTATTCGTAGCTGTGGAATCATCATTAGATTCTTCGATTGGGTTAATGGTCGCATTGTATGTCCTAATAAAATCAGCTACTTTGTTGGTTAAAATACTTTCGTTGCGTTTACTGTAAGTGATGAAGCTTGTTTCATTAACTTTGCTATCTTTCACGGATGCAAATGAGCTTATGCTGTCGTGGTTTTTTAGATATCGTTCTTGTGCATTTTGATGAGGATGATAAGTGCTTTTCCAGCCTAGCGTGAAACCCAAGTAGGTAGCTAGCGTATCACTGGCTTCTGCAAATATTTATAAGAGAAAATGTTTCATTAAATTACAAAAGTGTACATCAAAATTTTTAAGTAAATTTTCTTAAAGCAACCTGATATAAATACAGCATTGCTTGGTATAACATCCATGCTACGGTAATATGAACCACCAGGTGGTATATGATATCTTCGTAATTCATTCTGTTTATATAATTTCGTTTTCTTCGACAGATTTCCATGATAAGCGTTGCTTTTGCGTTGTTCAGCTAGTGATTTCGTTAAAACCGTATGCATTGGTGAACTACTCACTATTCTACGTGTTCTGCCATTATTGGTAACAGGTTTCTTGTATTTCCGCCAACCGCCAAATAAGCCGCCACCAAAGGAACCGCCGCGACCACGGCCACCGCCACGTGCCTCACACACGTTCACAATCAATACAATATTTAAAATCAATAAATACAAAATTCTTTTATAAAGCATTGCAAAACTTTTCGCGTGGATTTACTTAAAAAAATGATTATAAAAGAAAAAGCAAAAACGTTTTGAACTAAACTTTACTGTGTAGCGTTTCAACGGGAAATGTTCACTCAATATGGTCAAGTCGCATAATTTGCTTCGTATTAGCAGAGAAGACGAGTACGGCGCAAAACGAATAAATGAATTTAATGATACTGTAACAAAGATAAACAAACAGTGTTGCACACTAAAGACATTAAATTGTTGCTATACTGTTGCAATATGGGCCACATGCACACGTGATGCTGTGTTTATTTGCTTGAATTTAATTTAATTAGATGTATAATACATGCTAACCGACTGAAACACATATACATATAGAGATTATATGTGCAGCGTGAAAAGTTCATTCAAATTTGTTCCTGTTGTGTTCAATTGAGCTTTGATTCAATTGTTCTCCGTTTTTTACCATCGACACCGGGGCGTATTAAATCTGTTATTTCATTTGTTAGATAATAATATAGTGAAACACATGATCTTGATCAAAGTGAGGTTTCGAGTGAGTTTTCCGAAGTTTTAGATGACTAAGTACTTAGGAGACGTCGCTTAGACGTTTAAGGACAGCCGTTAGAAAGGATAGTAGATGGAGCAAGCAGCAAATCGAGTCTAGAAATTGTGTGCGTTCTACATAAAAGTATGAATGTCGGGAAAGGTGGAAAGGAGAGTTTTTGCATGAACAGTCGCGATAATCCTTCGAACGTTCTGCGAGCCGAAATAGTCTCCCCTTTTTATCTGCAGACCATATAGAAACGCTATGTAGAAATACAGGAGAGTGTACATTACGCCAACGTGGAATAGGCTTTTATCATTCACGAACATCTGAGCCCTTTGATGCGATCGACAATGTCAAGCAAGATCTTGGCAGATACCACCCGCTGATGCAAATTGCACACTAATCTTGGACAGGTAACGACATTGATAATCTAATTCAACACTTCGAGCATTCGTTATGGCCAGAGGACGTCATTTTATATTTTCATGACCGAGACATCAAGTGGTGTCACTTCTTCTGCCAAGGACAGAGGTATTCGGTATTTCGAGCCCTATCAAAGTCGAAGCCAAAGGCAGGCAATTTGGTAACAAGAGTATCTAGAAATATCTAGTCCCACGATGTTGGTTTCGCCATTATGGCAAATGACTTGTTTTCATTTTTCAGCAAAGCAAACCACTGGATCACAAGTGAAGGAATTTTTGTGAAGGTTGTTGGTTTGCTGTTGATTGCCGTCAGATGTTAACTGACCAAGGCTTCCATAGTTTTAGTAATGGCGAAAATTGCATTGTCTACTATAACCACCCCCAGAGTTATCGCCAATGCAAGAAGCAATCCCGCCGACTGACTATCGTTTTTCAAAACTTTTTTAAACTTCTTTTTGGATCCGAAATTTGATCCGAAGGTCTGAAAATACCTATTTTAGAATTTTTTAGATGGATCTTCTTCCATATTTTAAGCAACGAATCTCAAAAAATCAAATTTGAATTCACGTCCTACAATTACTTGTCTGCCCAATTTGTTCACATTTGAATATAGCGTTAGATATATTTGAGGGCGTGTCTAATTTGGGACGTGTGCACTTCAGTTGTCTTTTCTTATCTCTTTAAAGCATGTGGTATATGTATGCATTTCAAATAACCTCAAAGAGTAATTGGACGGAAATCGTCACGTATTGATGGGAGAATTATTTTTCCATTTTGGAGATCTTCAAGGGAATGTACGAATGGCTGTTTAAGAGCATACTAGTTCAATAACTTTTTCTTGAAAAAAAACCAAGAAATGCAGTGAGGGTGATCTAAAATTCGTTCCAACTCATATAGAGCTTGCTCACTTTTTTCGCAGACAATAATTTTCTTTCTCAGACAGTTCATTTTATTCAAAAATATCTTTCACTTCTTCAATGAAATTAAAATGATGTGCCAGCAGTTCCCTTTAGCTTATGAGAAAATGAGAAGGAATAGTATTAAGAATCTTCATTAATCAAAGCTTAAATGTTTCAGTTTGATAATGAATTTTTTTCAACCATTAATGTTCACTGCCTTCTGCTGTTTCGGATATATTACTAAAGAAGAAGCACTCAAATCCCCATACGCTCTTTGCCATAATGTACGCCAAATTTATAAATGCTTAGCAATCTGTCAAACGTATCTAAAGTACAAATGTTACCTTGACGAATGCATGCTAACGTGTTAGACTATAAAAAACAACAACAACAAAAAGACTGCAATATATCCTTTATGAGAACGATTATTATGGGTAACTAAACTAGAGAGATTCATTCAAGCATGCATCCATCCTTACATTTCATTCATGCATCCATTTTGGTACCCGAGGGAATCGAAATACAGAGAAAAAAGAGAAAAGAACCAACATGTCAACGTTTAGTAAATGTCAACCTGATTACACAAAAATTTATCAGAGGATTTTAAAACGTTACGCATATAAGCTTCCATGAAAATAAATACAAACATATGTCAGCTTGGAAAGGCATCTACAGACTCCATAACGCTATTTGAGTAGTTCCTAGTATGTTTATATGCACGTGTACATATATAAATGTGTATGTGCTTGTTAAATGAATGGTAATCTTTACGTTTTCGAAATTAAAAATTGTCATTGCAATCATAAAGAAACTCTTTAGAGACTTAGGGTTAACGCAAGCAGTTACACGTACACATATTTGTACATAAAAGTATACAAACATATGAACGCAAAAGTGTACTTTTAAGTATATAACCAATGTATATATAGCTGTAAAAACATAGCAATAGTGCGAATGACAAGAGTGCATCATATGGGAAAGCTAATGCTTTTTGTCCGCAATTACGTACACACATTCTGAAGAGTTTGAATTCGTGTACATAATGAAAGACATTAGCATTTAAAAAAATTTACATAAGACTATTTTAAATGATCCCACCAGCCATCGATTTGTATAAGTATAAGTAAAACTCTGACAGATGAAAAGCTTTTCCATGCATTGATTGAAATTTACTTGCGGACTCTCTGTGTATTAGAAATCATGCTTTCTCTGATGAGTTGAAGGTAAAGTTCATAAGAGAAAATAAGCCCGTGGAGGCGAAGATATTGAAAAAAATTACAAGAACCTTTCCAGTTATTTCATTGAAAATTGTAGTCGGTAACCAAACTAGATGTGAACATCAAAATTGTTGCAACTGCTTTCTCTCGGAAAGTTTTAAAAATTAAATTTTTTTATGTATACTCATTCTAGAGTGGAGGTAAATACAATAATAAAGTAAAATAATTTTATACATACGTCTCTGAACGCTTAAGACATACTTTACCACTCGTACTATTAAAATGATGTATGGGGATGGCTTGAAATGGAATGAAAATGAATAGAAAGTTTCAGTATACGCGTCTAGTACAGACCGGTCTACACCAGTGACCTAAGGAAAATACTACCATTTGTACCTTTAAGTTCTATATTAACTTAAAATAATGATAATTTACTCTATCCAGTTTTTTACCTTTTTTTGTCTTGTGCGCTTACAGCATTAATTGATGCGCATTAAAAAGTATAAAGCACTTGGTTAGGAAATCTATTTACAGCATCATTATTCAATTAGTTTTAAGAATTTTTTTCTTTTAATGAAGCTTTCTTATCCAAACAGATAGTTGTTTGCAGTTTGGCAGTCACTCTAACCAACATCTGTTTCAATTTTCCGATCTTCAACGGTTAACGAGATACTCTTGTTTACTTTTATTAAAAAAAAAAAGGTTTTGTTTCTCAAATTTTACAATGAGTAGAAAAGTGCAGCAAAGAAGTTCCATCAAGATTTCTCAAAGGGGAATTTCGGTCTCGGTAATATTGAATAAAACATTCTCGAACGCATATATTATTAAATATATATTATAAAAAGGCAGAAAGGGCATTGAAGTAGAAAAACGTTACGGTCATGCTGTCATTTGTACCAATGAACACAAGTCACGTTAAATCCGATCTCTAACTATTATAGAAAATCGAAAATCTGTCTGAGGGCATTTTTTTGACATAAAATAGAACAAAGATTGCATTTTCTTATATGGAAGTGATCAAGAGCAGCCTATTAACCACTGCACATATTACGAAGAAATCTGGGGCAGATATCAGTTAGTCCGTTACAGACCCATTTTATTGACAATGTAACCAAGTGTATTTTCAATTCTCATCTTACATATGAATACGAACAAAACTTTAATTCGAAAGAGAGTGATTGATATGTTTATAGAGATTATGCCTGTTGCTGATAAGGCCAATATATCCAGTAGCATGATGAGTTTTTATGATTTGATGTCCCCTTGCGTTGAGCGTTTTGGTTTAACTTTTGTTAGAAAACTTTATGATGTCTTATTGGTAGTGGAATTTTCCTTCAATTTTTTCTTAGTTACTTGAATTGTATGCCGAAGTTGGTTGTGTTTTTGCCAACGACAACATAAAAACTAAGATAATATTTACGTTCAGGCGCACGGTTCAAATCAAAAACCGCTTCGAATAAAAGGTCTAACATAACATTGTAATCTTTGTCGATAAACTAAAATAAATTTTATTTATATAGACTTCACCTTGGCGATTGTGAGCAAAGTGCAGAGCATTATGCACTCTATCATCGAGCTCTAAGACAACAAAAGTGGCCAACCTGAAATAGAAACATTGCGGCTTCGGATATATTAATATCACGGAGGATAGTTAATAACCGATTATCTCTGCATCCATATTAGCAGAGTAGCGTTAAAACAATTTATTGTTGCGAAAGTATTTGAACGATACACGTTATTATGAGGTGGTTTCACTTGGAAAAGGCATTTATTGAGAAAACTCGCTTGTAGTTGTCCAGAAACAGTTGATTGATCAATTTCTATGATTTTCGAAAGTTCTTCAAGAGTTTGAGCTGGGTTTTCGGCCAAAAAGTCTTGCAATTCATGGTCCGTCTATTTTTATCGTCCTCCAGACCGCTTTTTGTCACTGACTTCAAAGTCACCGCTTTTGAAACATTGAAACCAAAACCGACCATTGGGGTACGATAGGGATGCATCGCCATAAGCTTCCTAACTTGTTTGGTGGGCTTCGACAGCAGATTTCTTTAAATTAGACGGCAAAAGTACTGAAGGTCTAAAATGCAATTTTAAGTGCTTCATAATTTAGCGTCGTC